GATTCAAATGGGAACAAGCTCAGGAGGATGCATTCAAACTCCTGAAACTTAAGCTTACTCACACCCCTCTCCTTGTTTTACCAGATTTCCTTAAACCTTTCAAAATTGAATGTGATGCTTCTGGTGTAGGTATAGGAGCAGTGCTGATGCAGGAAAAAAAGCTGATTGCTTACTTCAGGGAGAAGTTGGATGGAGTCACGTTGAATTACCTGACTTATGATAAGGAGATCTACGCCTTAGTCTGTGCACTCTAGACTTGGCAACACTATCTTTGGCCGAAGGAAATTTGTGATCCACAACGACCATCAATCCCTCAAACACCTCAAGGGACAACAAAAGCTGAACAAGAGGAATGCTCGGTGGATAAAGTTCATAGAGACGCTTCCTTACGTAATCTAGTACAAGCAGGGCAAAGAGAATGTGGTGGCTGATGCTTTGTCCCGACGATATGCACTGATTTCAACTCTTGATGCTAAGATCCTCGAATTTGAGATGATCAAGGACGCTTTGCAACCGACCCAGACTTTCAGGAAGTTTTTTTCTCTTGTGAAAAATTTGCCTATGGCAAAGATTTTCGAAATGACAAGGTTTTGTTTTATGAGAACCGTTTGTGCATCCCTAATACTTTTTTACGAGATCTTCTTGTCAGGGAAGCACACAGTGGGGGATTAATGGGACATTTTGGCATGGTCAAGACCCTTCATATTGTACAAGATCATTTCTTTTGGCCTCATATAAAACATGATGTGGAACGGATCTGTGGTCGATGTACAACTTGTAAGTTTGCCAACTCCAAAAGCCAAAATCAAGGTATGTATTCCCCTTTACCCATCCCTACCAAACCATGGACAGACATTTTGATGGATTTTGTTTTAGGTCTGCCTAGGACTAGGAAATGAAGTGATTTGATCTTTGTTGTGGTAGATAGGTTTTCAAAAATGGCTTATCTCATACATTTCCATAAGACCGACAATGCATCGAACATTGCTAATTTGTTCTTTAAAGAAATTGTTCGTCTGCATGGAATGCCTAGGACCATAGTCTCGGATAGGAATACAAAGTTTCTGAATTACTTTTGGAAGACTCTGTGGTCTAAGTTAGAAACAAAACTTTGCTTCCACTACTTGTCATCCGCAATCAGATGGTCAGACCGAAATGGTCAACATGACTCTTTCCACAATTTTGCGTGTTGTGATTAGGAAGAACATTAAGTTATGGGAGGATTGCTTGCTTTATGTAGAATTCGCTTATAATGATGTGCATTCTACGACTTTATTCTCATCATTTCAGCTCGTTTATGGTTTTAATCCACTTACGCCTCTTGACCTAACACGTTTACCCTTGAGTGAGCGTGTAAGCATGGATGGTAAGAAAAAGGCGGAGCTGGTCAAGCAGATGAACGAAAATACAAAGCAGAACATTGAACACAAGGCAGAGCAGTACTGGGAGCATGCAAACAAAGGCCGGAGCGAGAAAATATTTGAATTGGACGACCTTGTGTGGATTTACTTGAGAAATGAATGATTCCTTGAAGAAAAGAAGTCTAAACTCTTGCACAAAATCGACAGACCCTTTACAGTCTTGGAGCGGATCAACAACAATGCTTACAAAATTAATCTTCAAAATTGATGATATTATTCCCTTTGTTCCAGATGGACCAGACTTGAGGAAAAGTCTTATTCAAGAGGAGGGGCATGATGTGATCATGGAATCGGAAGCACAAGTGGAGGTTCTGGAATCAGCCTTAGTCGTTTTGGAGGATCCTGTGACGCAGTCAAAGTCCTGGAAGCTTGCTGGAGCTATTCGGAGTTTGCTGAATGAAGTTAGGATTAGAATAGAGCAGCTTATACCCAATGCCTTAACCATACTCACGTACCAGAGTTCTTGCTGAGGTTGGCTGCGGTGTAAGTTATGGTACTCTTTTTCTTTACATTTGGTTTTGTCACAATGAATTTTCCGGGTGGGGTTTTAACGAGGTCATGGCTTACATCCCATTCACGGCCCAAATTCAGTAAGGCTCGATAAGAAGTTTAAAGGTCATTTTTGACTGGGTGTACAAGGGTCAGTCAAAGGCTAGCCGAAGGGACATTCAACTATTTTAGTCCTTAGTCAAAGACTTCATTTATTTCGGTTTTAGTTATTTATTACTCTTTGTAATTTCTGAGTATGGCTTTTCGCCTACTCCTACCCCTTATAAAAACGATGTGGAGGTCTCAGATCTTATTCCTTCACTTTTCAATAAAATTTCATAGAGAAATCTCTCTTTTGTTCTTTGTGAACTTTTCTTATTACTTGGTGGTTAGCCATTGATTATTTCGGTTTATCAAGTGTCGTCCATTACACTTGACGCAGCCTTCACCCAATTGTCTTATTGGGACGTTCAAGTAGTTAAAGCGGCTTAAAGATTTTCGGGAACTTTGTTCTCACGCCTTAACATCCTTTTTCCGCGGATCCAATCAGTCAACTTAGTCACCCCCTTGTTTCAAGTCTTTCACCGCAAGTTTGGGCCTATGGATCTTCAGGTTTCAACTCACCCCTTAGCATCTTCTCTATGAATCCGTTTGAAGTCAAGGATTTACCAACCATAGCCGATCAAGAGTGTGATATTCTTAGAGAGATCGTATCAAGAAAGGAACACTGTCAAAGATGGTCAAGGAAGCAACCAGCCACCTGGTGTCTAAGTAGTGATCGGATGTCTCAACTGCTTGTTTAATCCTAGTTTGTGTTAAAGCTATGTATGTTTCATCTTTAGTTAAGACTTTATTTTCCTTGTTTTTGTTCTTCTAATGAATTGCTTTGAAAGAGTCACGATCTTGTTTGCTTATTTACTCGCTTACTCTTTTGCACAAGAGGCATTTTGTTGAGAGGGTTGTTGATAGATAGAAGTTAAGAGTAAAGGAATGAATGAATGAGGCTTAAACCGAGGAAACATATGTGAGTTCCTTGATCCCATAATGACTATTACGGTTCTCTTATGGTTAAATATGTTTTACATAGGATTTTTTTTTTGTTTTTGGTTCATGTTCGGTTGGTTATTCTATGATGGTGATGGTGTTTATTGGTTTATTTTTCAGGGCGGAGTTGTGTATTATTGAGGTGTTGGATGTCGGCACTAATGACCAATAGAAGTCACAAGATCATGTCGTTTATTTGGAATGGTGTTTGGTGTTTGTTTGACATTATCTTTTTTGGATTTTTCTTTGTGTTTTATTTCTTTCCTATGTATAACTTCAGACCACAAACTGATTTGCTTGCTTTGACACCACAAACATTGTATGAAAACTCTTTTATTTATATTGTTACTAAACTCTACATTTTAGTTCAAGCGTTTGATCAAGCTCTCTCATTCTCCTTTCTTTTTTATTTATCTTCAGATGTGATTACTTCTTCTTCTTTAGTTCAACCATTTGATCAAACAAAATATAAACAAAAACCAAACAAAACCCAAATATGGCTTCTTCTTCAAATAACCCTTTTGATGAATCAATTCATAAAACTTTTGATCAACAATTTGATCAATACTTTGATCAAACTTTTGAGAATCTGTTTATTGATTACCAATAAAATGAGGAGGCAAGAAAGTGAAAAAAAAACAAGCTTTTATCGAAAAAGATCAGGAAGAAGGCAATATACGTTTATAAAATGATTATTTCAATGAAGCTGTAACATACCCTGCTAATATATTCTGACACCGTTTTATAATGAATAAGCTATTGTTCATGAAGATTTTTGATCGTCTATCTAATGAAGTTTGAATCTTCCAACAGAAGAAAGATGCTCTCAGAAGGCCTGGTCTCTCAGGACTTTAAAAGTGTACAGTAGCAATTCGTCTATTGGCATATGGCACTGCAGCTGATGTAGTAGTCGAATACCTCCAACTCGGTGAATCTATGGCTTGCTCATGTTTGGAATATTTTGTTGAAGAAATAATATATTTGTTTGGTAATGAATACCTAAGAAGACCTACACCAGTGGATCTTCAACGACTACTATATATTGGAGAGCACCGTGGATTTCCTGAAATGGTATGAAGCATTGATTGTTGATAACACCGTATTTGTACTCATTTTCACTAGTGTTTTCTTATGCTATTTCAAAGGTTTTAACTAGTTTCAAGTGATTTTAACATGGTTTTTCTATATCTGTAGTTTCAAGACTCTTTTTAAGTTACTTAAGCAAAAACAATGCAAATTAGAGAAATATTCATATCTGACCAATTTTCAGTCCATCGGAAGTATAGCAACATATGGAGATTTTCCCACCGTCCGATTAAGCTCAGAAGTTGGATCATAAGTTATTTCCAATATCCATATTTGACGCAATCCAACTGTTGGATCATAAGTTATTTCCAATTTACTGAAGACATGTTCTGCAATCTCGCCAAAAAAGCAAGAAAATGAATGAAGTTTGGACATCATAGGCTAACCACCACGGTCCATGAGCTCGTGATCGCGGTAAACACACTTCTGGCTACGCCTCAGAGCCCTCACCCGCGGTGAGCCAACATTTACCAGCTTAGGAGAGTTCTTTCCTGTGACAAGCCCATTTTCCGGCCCACTGACCCATTTTCAAACCCAACTCATTCTCTTTTCAAAGAAATTTCTAAAGACGATCAGAAAGATTTGAAGATCTATAAATATGTATTTTAGAAGACCGAATTTGTGTGTGCTCCTTTTCTTTTGTTAAGGAGAAACTTAACTTTGTTTCTTCAATTTAGGTTAGGGAAATAGAAATTCTTCTCTTGAATCCTTTTTGTTTCTTTTCATCTTTCTATTCAATTTATGATAGAAGTTTGCTTGCTGATATTACGACGACTGCAAGTGTACATCGTTCATTCAATGAAGCTTTAGAGTTTATAGAATGGTGGAGGCCGAAAATACTGTCATAGATGAGATTAATCGTTTTTAGTTTTCGCCAATCATATAATTAGTCAATTTCTAATACGAAAGATGCTAAACTATTGTTGACAAGAGGATTTTTTTTTTTTTTTTTTTGCCCTCCATCGTTTTTGAAAAAATGTTGAAGTCCATGAGGAGCAGTAACGATCACCTAATTTCTCTGATCGTATCTTCCACCGCGAAACTACATCTCCGGCAGATTCACGCCATCTTGCTTCGCACTTCATTGATCAGAAACTCCGACGTTTTCCACCATTTCCTCTCTCGCCTCGCTCTCTCTCTCGTTCCCCGAGACATCGACTACTCGCGTCGTGTTTTCTCCCGGAGGAGTAACCCAACTGTCTCTCACTGCAACACCATGATCAGAGCTTTCTCCGTCAGCGAAACCCCCGTCGAAGGGTTCCGCTTGTTCCGAGCTCTGAGACGACGGAGAAGCTCTCGTCCCGCAAACCCGCTCTCGTCGTCTTTCGCACTCAAGTGTTGCATCAAATCAGGCGACTTTCTCGGTGGTTTGCAGATTCACGGGAAGATTATCAGCGACGGGTTTCTGTCGGATAGTCTTCTCTTGACGACTCTGATGGATCTCTACTCCACATGCGAAAACAGCAATTACGCATGTAAAGTGTTCGACGAAATTCCCAAGAGAGATACCGTTTCTTGGAACGTCCTGATTTCTTGTTTCTTGCGGAACAAACGCACGCGAGACGCTCTGTTTTTGTTTGATAAGATGGTGAACGAGGTTGATGGGTGTGTGAAACCAGACGGTGTAACATGCTTACTAGCTGTACAAGCTTGCTCCAGCTTAGGCGCGTTGGATTTCGGTGAAAGAGTTCATGCCTTTATCGATCAAAACAAGCTCGGTGGTGCTTTGAACTTGAGCAACACTCTTGTTTCCATGTACTCACGATGCGGGTCTATGGACAAGGCTTACGAGGTCTTCAAGAGTATGCGTGAGAAAAACGTTGTCTCATGGACGGCTATGATCTCGGGCTTAGCCATGAACGGATTCGGGAAAGAAGCCATTGAAGCTTTCAACAAAATGTTGAAGCTTGGAATCTCTCCAGAGGAACAGACACTCACAGGTTTACTCTCTGCGTGTAGCCATTCCGGGTTGGTCGATGAAGGGATGATGTTTTTCGATAGGCTAAGAAGCGGCGAGTTTGGGATGAAGCCGAATTTACATCACTATGGTTGCATCGTTGACCTCTTGGGACGTGCACGTCTACTTGATAGAGCCTACGGTCTTGTACAATCGATGGAGATGAAGCCAGACTCCACCATATGGCGTACGCTGCTTGGGGCTTGTAGAGTCCAAGGAAATGTGGAGCTTGGGGAACGTGTGATCTCTCATCTTATCGAACTCAAAGCCGAAGAAGCTGGAGATTACATTCTGTTACTCAACACATACTCTTCGGTTGGGAAATGGGAGAAAGTGACTGAACTACGTTCGTTGATGAAGGAGAGAAAGATCCATACCAAACCTGGATGCAGTGCAATCGAGCTACAAGGAAGCGTTCATGAGTTTATTGTCGACGATGTTTTGCATCCGAGAAAGGAAGAAATTTATGAAACTCTGGCGGAGATCAATCAGCAGCTGAAGATTGCTGGTTATGCGGCGGAAACCACATCGGAACTGCACAATCTTGATTCGGAAGAAGAAAAGGGAAATGCTTTGACATACCATAGCGAGAAGCTAGCTATTGCCTTTGGGATTCTCGTGACTCCACCAGGGACAACCATTAGAGTGACCAAGAATCTCAGAACTTGTGTTGATTGTCATAATTTTGCAAAGTTTGTATCTAATGTTTATGATCGTGTCGTGATAATCAGAGATCGTTCCCGTTTCCATCATTTTAAAGGTGGGTTTTGTTCTTGTAATGACTTCTGGTGATGATGATTTATATACTCTTACTCTGTTTTGCTCCTGTAATGATGATTGTTAGAGCCCTATCCTATTTTCATCATCTTAAAGATGGATCTTGATGTCATGTAATGATCATAAAATCTGCTTTAATGTCATGTATCAAAATCTTCAAACTGAAAGCTGATACATTCTTTATTCTACAACAAGAAAATGTCTCGCCGATGCAAAAAAGATTCAAAAACAAAACTCAAAATGATCAGAAGAAAAAAGTTATCCGCTTGAATGAAGCACGTCTTTTCAGATGAAATCAAGATCTAGTTAGCAGGTTTGTTTGCAAATGCAATACCCTTCTCGATGCTGCCTTTCAGTTCTGTCTTAAGAGCCTCTAACGCCTTCTGCTCATACTCAGTCAACCCTTGGAGATCAGACTCGATCACAGCTTCAACTCCATTCTTCCCAAGCTTGATCCTTGATGCAAAGAAAGGAAGATCCGTCAGAGACGACTCCACAAACGAGCACTCGTAGACATCTCCATCACCATCAAGAGCACGAAGAGACGACTCAACAAATCTCGCAGCAGCATACGCCATTGACAAAGTAGCTGAACCAGCACCAGCCTTAGCATCAACAACCTCAGTACCAGCGTTCTGTATCCTAACAGTCAGCTCTTGGATCTCTTCATCAGTGAAACTAACAGATGGTTTAGTCTTCGAGAGAAGAGGCAGGATAGTGATTCCAGCATGGCCACCAATCACCGGAACATCAACATCTATGAGCTTAAGATTCTTTCTCTGAGCAACAAAAGTGTTTGCTCTCACAACATCCAAAGTAGTGACACCAAAAAGCTTCTTGGGATCATAAACACCTTTCTTTTTCAACACCTCAGCAGCGATTGGTACAGTAGAGTTAACAGGGTTGCTGATAATGTGGATAAAGGCATTAGGACAGTTATCAGCAACAGCTTCAACAAGTGTCTTGACAATACCGGCATTGATGTTGAAGAGATCGTCTCGGGTCATACCAGGCTTTCTCGGCACACCAGCAGGGATAACCACAACGTTGACATCTTTCAAACACTCAGCTAACTCAGAGGGTCCAGTGAAGTCACGAACCTGAGAAGGTGTGTTGCAGTGACTCAAATCAGCAGCGACTCCCTTGACATTGGCGATATCGTAAAGGTGAAGCGTAGAGACTAAAGGAGACATTTTGATGAGAAGCGACAAAGGCTGACCAATCCCTCCTGCAGCTCCAAGAACAGCCACTTTGTATGAAGCGTTGATCTTGAAACCATACGGGGACTTGTCAGATGTTTGTGATTTCATTACAGAACCGCGCATAGCTTTGCTGAAGGCAGAGGAATCAGATCCAGAGATCAGAGATGTTGATCTCAAACTAGGGGTTGAGTTAAATTTCACAGCTTGTATCCTCGACTGTGGTAAGGAGCTGGATCTAGACGAGTGAGAAACAATCGAAAACGAAGAAGTTGCTGTTGCTGCCATTGTTTTTCAGTTTTCCCCTGTTTTCACAAAAATCAAAACTTTTTACGGGAAATTTGAGGAAGACTAATTCATATCAGTGAATAAACAATTGATTGAAGAAGGAGAAACCCTAATGAATCCACGAGAGATGTAAAACCCAGATCGAAGCCATAATATTTTCGAGGGAGAATCAGTTCTAATACAAGATTCAGAGGAGGTAATTCGTAAATCTAAGAATGGAAATCCAGAGTTACAGAGATGAATACAATCGAGAATCAAATCGTTATAGAACAGAAAAAAAAAAAAAAAAAAAAAGAATCCTGAAATTGAACAAAGATGCGATATTGAGAATCCTACCCTTTGAGAAAGCTCAAGACGCGAGAGAGAGACGCTTGAGGAGTTGTGTTTCGATATTGTTAATGCTCGCAGGCTTTCGAAGGCTCGAGTGAGTGACAGAGAGAGACAAATGAGATTAGGTGACGATGTTATTATTAAAAAAAAAAAAATATATATATATATATATATATATAGATTTGAAAATAAGAATAATAAATAAAGAAATTCGAGATGGGTTTGTTTGGTTTAGTTTGGTTGGCTGTCTCGTTGAATCCGCCAAGAGGTGATTGCGTCTTTTTGTAGTGTCCGTGCGACAGCCAAACGCAGCGTCAAAACCCTATTTCCTTCCCCATCTCATCATTTTTTCTTTCTATTGAAAGTGATGAATATTTTTTCTTCATTTAATTTTTATTTTTATTTTTGGTTGACAAAACCTCCCTTCTTTTTGGTTGAGTTAGCTTTGTTTTTTCATCTGAATTTTTCATTATATAATACAAAATAAAGATATAAAGGTAAAATGCGTTTTACTATACAAAGAACTAAAAAACGAAAAAAAACTCAGAAATATACCCGACAAAGGGAGACGTGACAGAAAAACAAAGATGCAGCACAACAAAACTAAAAAGATAACAAAGAGGTTGTAGTGGGGTGTTTCCCTTTCTATAGAAGATTCGACTTTATGGGTTTAGGCCAGGGATCGAATCTCTTCGGATGCAGAATTGTCACATTAACTTTTTGGTCACCCAACCCTGTAAGCTGCGAATCTGCAACTCTTACATGAAAAGGATGTGGGCTTACATGAAAAGGATGATGGATCTAACATATATTAGTCTAGGCCTAAAGAATTTGAGATTTACCTCCGAGTTAACAAAAAAAAAAAAAAGGAAACGTGGCCCCAATAGAAAGGGAAACAAACAAGAGTAAGAGTTACCTAATATAATTTGTTTATAAAAATTATATATAAAGTAAGTGGATAAAAATCGATCGGATGAGTTATGAAGTATATTACTAAGACTATCTTCATCCCTGAACTCAAGGGATTTTTAGTGCTTTTGAGTATTAAAAATAAATGTAAAATGAATAAAAGTCTAAGAACTCAACTCTTAAATTTTTTATTTAATAACTTCATTCTTAAGGGGTTCTTACTGATCAAATGCGAATTCATAGCAGAATGGAGTGAAAAGTGAGGAGAAAAGCAAATAGACACCACCACTTTATTTTCGTGTCTTATGATTGGTGTGGAAAAAGCAAATGGATCCCACCACGTTATTTTAAAAATGTTAAGAACCTCATAAAAGGTTTAGAGATGGAGATGCTCTAATGCTTCGTATCATAGGTGAACGCGTCATCCATAATTTGTTGGTAAAGCATATATTCTAAGAGATCATTCTGATCAAGTGCGAATTCATAGCAGAAATGTTTTTACCACGACTTTGTGTTGTCTAACTATAGAGTTACGGTGTATACCATGGACATTAAAATGGTTGGAGAAATGTCCATTTCTTAAAGTAGAAGTCGTTTTTTCGATAATGCTATGACAATGGAAGCAATCCTTAACTCTTGGGACTGGTCTCCTCATCAGATTCTTTTGGAAAAAAAATATCCACTACTTTTTTAGGGATTTTAAAATATGTGAATTTTATTTGGTGAAAGTTTCAGACAAATTTTATTGTTTGGACGATTGTGAAATAGTAATTTGAAATGGATAAAAAAAAATTTAGGATCGTTTCATAATCAAGTGTTAAATGAAACTAAAACTTTAAGATTTGATGACCTTCTCCTTTTTCTATCCCTAGTTGTTTGTTGTTATGTTTTTCATGTGAGTCTCTATGTTTTTTAAGTTTTTGTTACTTTGCCTCTTTGGTTTCATTTCAGTGATCAGTTGAGAAAAAGGATACACAATTATGATCATGATTTCTTTTTTTAAAAAAAAAAAGATGTAACCATTTTAACAAAAAAAAAATGTAACCATTTGAACCAAATTAATTCGAACTCATCATGAAAAGAAAAAATAAGAAGCCATATTCACGGCATCCTTGGATTTGAACTCATCATGCCTTAACAATTTAACGAGCAATTTGTTTTTGAAGCATAAACTTTCCTTAATCACGGCGTCTCTGGATTTAACAACTGCATTACATTAAAAAACAAAAACCTACATGTTTTTCTCCCTATAAACTATATATAAAGTCTAATCGTCTATAGACTTTATATATAGACTCATCGTTTATAGACCGATGTTAACTAACTTGATTCATAGTCAGTAATTATAATTAGACGTAGCTTACACAAACATAAACTTATGGACTACTATAATTATATTAATTGATTCTTCTTCTTTAAATTTTTATCTATTAGCAATCGACGCATCCTCTTCCACGTGGCAAGTGGCGATTGTTGGCACCCGAACCTGGATAATCGTTTATCTCTTCCATCGCCATCCTTTCCTCTACGTCCTTCTTCACATCCTAACCAAAAATTTTTTAAAAATTATGAAACCTAATTATAACCTATCAAGAAGACATAACACAACTTGAGAACCAACCAATAGTGTATCTTGTTGAGGTAGGTTTATTTGATCGGGCCTCTCCATCAAACTCCCCAGTCCTACATATACGTACACAAGAAAGAGATATACTATAAGTTACAACATCATTTGATGAAAAAATATATCAACATAAAGATAAAGAATTAAGAGATGAAGATCGTACTCGAAGCATTGATAGGGAAGAAGAAGAAGTGAGATAGAGTGAAGAAGAAGATCATGAGGAGTTGGAAGAGAGCTTTGTTGGCCATTTGACGATGATAATGTATGACAAGAAAAAATGTATTAATTTTGTTGTGGGTTTTGTCTCTCTCTTTTTCCCAGAACTTGCTTTGAGTTTTGTCTTTGCAATGGTTTCTTTTATAGTTCTCTTCTTCCAATTTGCACATTTTATTATCATAGTACTCATGGTGGAGTGGACTTTTTTTAATCATTAAATTCAGAAAATTAATTCAAATATGGAAGTTTAAAATCCTTTTTTTTTGGATCCAGTTACCAAAATGTCTATACTTAAAAGAACAAACACGAAAAAACAAGAATTCGACGCGTTTTCACTTTTCCATATGTGTTGCAGTTTTTTATAGTTCTATATAATATTAAATAAATTGACAATAGTCACACTATATATGAAAAAATGTTTGTTACTCGATCATACATAAGCAAAAATCCTAATTTGATTGTTTGTTCTAATTCATAGTTTTGATTTTAATTGTAGGTGCTCTTCGTCCAAGTATGAACTATTTGCATATGTATATGATCAAATTAGAAACATCTAGAGAAATGATCGATGCTGGTTAAAGTGGTCGAGTTGTGGGAGCCATTTATGGGGATGCCTACTTAATTACGCGTGACTGTTTATTTAGTCACTGACAAATGGGTTAAGTCAAGGGAAGCTTTGTGTCTAATTGTGCTTTAAGAAAGTGCTTTGTTATATAATTTGCTTATACTAATTATAACATGGTTCGATATTGTGCTGCATTCGAGAAATTTTATTTTAGGAATTTAACGGAAAAAAGTAGTAACATAATTTTTACCAAACAAAAAAAGTAATAACATCATTAAGCTCTACATTACTCTATATTAAAGTTTCTTGAATGTGAAATGAGTCAAACTATATTTTATCGGGTGATGTAATTACAAGAAAAAGAAAATTCTTCCTTAAAAAGGAATTTTTAATAATGTTTACACATGATAATAGAAATTAACATTTCTTATTTAATATTAATGTAATCTCGTCAAAATAAAAATTAATCCACTATTTAAAAGTGAATACATTACATTATATATAGGTATGTAAGCTTGTATATGTAGATCCATTTTTTATCTCCACAATTTTCATTCACCGTCTGAATCTGTTGATTATCAAATATTTACACATAATAGAAATAAAAACTCGCAATACGACCAATAAAGCAAAACTATGTGAATATCAAACTTTGCTTACTTTTCGAAGATACTAACTACATCTTTAATGGAAATCACAATAAGTCTATAATGGAAGATAGCTAAGCACAGACAGAATTGTAAAATATTTTCAATTGTTTGATCATGTTGACAAAGTATATCTTAGACTCTTAGTAATCCATTTAAATAAAGTTAGAATATATGTAAGTGCACATCGATACATGCTTGTCAAAGTCATGGCACTAACTCTAAATGATGTTTATTGATCACTTCACGATTTTGGCTTCTATAGTGGCTAATTCATCATACCGCTTAATTATTCTTTATATACAACTTTTTGAAAATTTTAAACATCTTTTACAAAATGAAGTCTCGGATAATTATGTAGTTTAATATAGTTTTATCGAGCTGTATAATTAAACCGAAAAATATTAAACTAAATATTAAAATTTGATAAAATGTTGTTGTAATTAAATTTATATACAAACACTCACATATTCTAATAAACAAAATTAAGATTAACTTTCATCCCGGTGCGGGTAAGCGCCTAGTTTATATATATTAAGAACTAAAACATTCACATATTTCGAACTTAGATCTCCTCTCTGATCGATGTCTGAAGAAAACCTATTGCTAAATTATGGACTGATCAAAAGAAGAGAATGGGCTGGAGAGACCGTGAGAATAGGTCATAAATGTATTTTCATCGTTGTAGTAGATTAACAGTTTCTTTAATTACAATCCACTTAGTGAAAGCTTTTTGGGCATATACATGCACTGCTTTTTCTGCAAAATGTCAAAATATATCACAACGTCGACAAAGTTAACAACCACAATTGCGAAAAGTTGTGTTCTTGGAAAGTTTCCCTTTCGTATATTAAGTTAATAACAACATTTATTAAAAGTCAATAGTGGGCTTTGCTTATCACATGATGCACATCACACCCTCTCTCTAGGTTTCCCAATATAATAATTAATAAATTAATGGACTGAAATTTATCATTTCATTTTCCTTTTCGTCATTGATATTTGCAAGGGATACGTTTTTGACTTTGAGGAAAGCTCCAACTAAGAGAACACTTAGAAAATTATGTCGAGCTGAAGTGGACCAATGGTTCTAATTCGGTTTCGGGTTCGACCGAGTTTCGTTTATCGGTTCAGTACAGTTACTCTAAAACCAATTGACTATGGAAAAAAATTGGTTTGCCGGCCCAAAGTGATTTGACGCCTAAACCGTACCGTAAAAATGATGCCCTTAATTAAAAAAAAAAAGAAATTTGAAATTAGAGGATAAACAACTTTTTGCTTAAAATCAATTTTTTAAGTTTAAGATCGATTTTTTTTAAGCTCGGAATCGATTTTTGAAGCTCAGAATCGATTTTTTAAAACCAGAATCGATTTTTTGAATTCCAGAATCGATTTTTTGAATTCCAAAATCGATTTTTATAAGCCAGAATCGATTTTTTTAAAAATATTTAATATGGATAATGACTCTTATTTATATGCAATTTTTCTTTCTCATTTTTTGTAGTTGATCGATGTGGGATAAACCTATTTACATACTTATAAAAAAATTTAGGGTTTTTTTGCTGCCACCAAAATTAATGTCTTTTAACTACCCTGAAACCATTGCTTCACGGGCTTACCTGTGGGCCGACCCTTTACAAAGATTATACTTTGATATGATATACTAATTGCGATTAAAGAATATAGAGTATTTCAGGATAATAGATATATAAATAGTGTTCAAATTGTTTCTAGGAACACCCAGGAATGTTGTTTCTTATTCTGGTGTACACTTGGAATATAAATAAAGTACAAAAAACAAAAAAGTAAGAAAGACTTCAGTTGGTATACAATTTTACATGCAAGTCTACATTTTCTAAAAAGTATATTCGATTTGATTTTAGAAGAATATTCTCGACTAGCGCAAACAAGTCCTTCAGGTACGTTTACCAAATCACCAAACATTGAGTGTTTAAGAAAACTAGAGAAGGCTTGAATTTTTAAATGGGCCTTAAGGATGATATATGGACTATACTATACGCTCAGTGAGGAAGCGAACATTTGGTTATGTGGAAAATATTTGAATTGTTCAGAGCCATTGGTATAACAGAGTAACAAAGTAGAAAATTAGGGTTTTAACTTTGAAGGACTTAACCCATATTTGACTTTTGATAGAAGTTAAGGTTTCTCATATCTATCTTTTTTCTTATCCCGTGTGTTTGTAACACTAAAGAATAATTATACATGTAATGTACTTTTTATAGGTGTAAGATATACCTGAAATAAAAATATGTAAATCCATATGTTTTTTTTACCAAAGCAAATCCATATGTTTATCTCACAGTTGATGAAAAATCTTGTTTCATTACCGAAGAGATCCTCTTTTTTACTACTTTAGTTGTATTGATTTCTTTAAAGCAAATAGTGAATCGCAAAGTAATCAAATTGTTGTTTCATCGGAAGAAAATAAAAATCCATTATCCGAATTATATGGTTAAGCAAAAGAAGAAAGAGGCTACGTAAAAAAAAAAAGATGATCATCCCAAAAAAAATAAAAAAATAGAAAGAGTGTTGTTTTTGATGTAGCTCCCAAGGGGATGCAGTGTCCACATTTTGCCAGCTGATGTGTAAAGGCAAGGCTTAAACACAAAGCTGGCTTATATTCACATAAATTCTTATCTATTTGTTTTTTCTTTTAAAAAATCCTCTCTTTTTTTGATAAAGAAAAAAATCCTATTTCAAAAACGCTAGATCGGAAAGTACAAATGCATATATTCAGATAAAGAAAACAGAAGAATAACTGAGCAAACACGTTTGATATTTCTCTTCTTTTTAGATAATTATGCTCTTATCTAAAAAATCTAAAAAGTTTTTCAAATAACGAATTCATCTAAAAATAAAACATTTATCCTACAGAGTTTCCAAGTTAGAATAGATTTCTTTGATGACCAACATGGAAAGACATTTATTTTGACCCAACAAAAAAATGTCTGATAGAAATTACATATATTATAAAAATTTACGTTACAAACGAAAAAAGCTGAAAGTGTGTAAAAAGTCTCTGTTTGCACTTGAAAATTGGGAGCATTATTGAAAACATACATTTTTTTTAATCTATCGTGAAAACAAAAATCTTTTATAATTCTTATCAAAATATTTTTGTTGTGCAACTATTCAAAACATTAAACTCAAACACTAACCTATACTCAAATGGGAAATTCAACGAATTTTTGGAGTACACAAATTTGAAGAAATTCATCCTTTCACGTTATTTTAGGGAATATTGTCATTTGTTCATTCTATAAATGAACTTATTAATTGGGCTTCCAACTGACATTTCTTCTTTGAAAAAGGACCATTTGAATTTTTCCCTTATTTTGCAAAGAAGTAAAAAGCCTGTAGTACTTTTTGGTTTTTAGTTTCTACAACTTTTCCTTTCTTTGGTTTCTCTTCTATCACATCTTTCAACAAATTATCCTAAAAAAACGTTTGAAACAGATAGATGTCAATTATCAGCAAAAGCTTCTATAAATTTCGTTAGCTCTTCCCCCATATTGTTACCATTTAAATTTTAAAACCAATGCTCAGATAAGAAAATAAAAAATCAACGAGCAAAAGTTAGAATGCGATCACAGTTCAACACGTGGAGGGTGGCGATTAGATCGACCAAGAGAAAGACATGCACCTTTTGCTGAAATCTATGCGCAGATATGATTGAGGCCACCACAAAATCCGACGTGGCAAAAGGCAGACTTTGATTTAGATCCTCCAAAAAACACAAGTTGGTTATTTTACAACGTGGCAGAGAGCAAATAACCTTTTTGTTGTCAGCCAATGGTTTACTGACACGTTATTGAATCGAACCTTTCATTGTTTTTCCTTATCCACACGTACAGCTAACTAGTCCGATTACCAAAATCAAATCATGCAGAGTGAGTAATATTGGGCACATGCCGCATATCCATTAAATATCTTTATCTAGATTGTAAGAACTTTTTTATATATTCGATTTTTGAAAACAATAAAAAAAATTGAGGAATTATATCAATTTCTTCAAGAGCTATGAGTTTACTACACTAGGATTCTTTAGGATTTGAAGGATAGAGAAATCTGAAGCAAATCACATTTAAAGTCAGAGCTACACTTCCCTAATATATTGATGCGTTTAATCCTGAAATTATAATGCAAACACAGTAGTATTTAAAAGTTGAATATACTAGAGATAAAAAAAAATAACACTATAAATTTATAAGAATCACACGGATGAACATGAGACTATATCGTTTGTTCCTTATGGATTCATCATAACCACTAAAAATCAAACAAGTTTCTACTAACAGACTCTTACCACAATGATTTGAGTAGTTATAGTGACATCTATCAATGCCAACAATCCATTTCGATCACAAATACAACAATTATATATATTTGGTCAATTAGAGATTAGACAAACACAAGTCCAAATCTTTCATTCTTAACTAGCTAGAGAGCTGATGCATTCAGACTTTCTCGAGTTTACAAAGCAAACGTGATTTCCAAAAATAATGCCATGAATTTCAAGCTTATGGAGCTTTATCATCAACAAATTCATAGCAAAAACGGATAGCGCAGAAGAATATATGATTACTTGTGGCCAGATACTGACCAAACTCTCTATTCTCTTTCATCTAGTTCACTTTCTCCGCTGCTTCATTCTTTCTTTTCTTCTTTCTGTTGAGTGGCATTCAGTTAGGAGTTTAAACAAAAACCAACAAACAGAACTTGAGAAAAGCAAGAGCAAGAATTCCCTCTTTTGTTATATTTTCTTCTTACACATCTTGTGTGGTATACAATGTTTTCTGTTCACTAATAAATCACCATCGACAAACACGATAATGGTAGATGGCACTATACTGTAGTATGGGTGACTATAATTTAATAATACGCAAATCAGAATCCTTGTAATTAAGCAAAACACAAGTTAGAATGACAGCCACCTATCATAAATCAAAGTAAATTCCAACAAAATTTTATTTTTTTAGCTTATCATTTTCAAGACGCATGAATTCTATTAGGAGTGTCCTTCAAATTACATTTTCAAGTGTGATTATACATCTTATCGTTCACCTCCATTATCAAAGTACCACCCTTTTCGCACATGGGACATCCAAAAGGATATAAAAAAATTCATTAACAAACGTAGATTTTGGAAAGTTAGAATAATTCGTCATGAATGTTTGTGTAATTTTTAGATATTTTTTTTAAATTATTTTTGACTTTAGGTTTTCGATTTTCAAGTTTTTGGTTTTTTTTATTTTGCTGTAGATTTTAGTTTAAAAAAAAAACTTGAATGGTGGTTTATTTAGATTTTGTTTTTTTTTAAAACATATTTTTTAAAAATTGAATATTATTTTACTAATAATGAATCTATGAGTTTGGTCTTTGCCTAGGATTTCGGAGTTTAAAAGATGTTTGACTTTCAAACAATGACATCATATGAGATAATGGTTAGATAATTGCTGTGATTTGGGTATTTGATCCTAAAATTTTAGATGAGTTCCAGTATCTCCAATATCAGTATCTTATAACTAGCAATAAAGATCATTTTCAAGAAAAAGATCAAATCTCCAAGATGATCGAGGATAATTTCATTGTTTTAGAAAACAAAAACGACTCTGATATCTATATTTTTATTTTTAGAGATGAAGATGGAAAATTTTGTTTTTATATTAAATTAAAAAAATCAAAGTTAACAGTTTTAAAATGACTCTTGTTATGGCAACAAATATTTATTTCTTTGTAATGTCTTGCCAGAGAGTATTATGGATGTTTGGAGAATTCCATTTATTTCACAGATGAGGAAGATATAAACAATGCTAAAGTGATCAAGCTTGGTGATGGATCTGATGGTAGTATTATTAAGAACGTGAAATCTTCTGCTGAGAGTTGTTTTCAGATGTTTTCTCCTTGTTTTTGTATGACAATGTCTTTGCCTACAAGACAAAAGTTGCAATTCTCCGATAGTTTTCCAATGACATACAAAAGATAAAAGATTTGTTCAAAAGTTATTGGAGGAAAATAATTTCTTGATATATGGTCGGAAAATTCGTCAGTAAGTCCTTGGAAAATTGTGTCAAGTTTGAATCCAGTTTTGCTGTGTGTTGACTTCGAGGAATATTCCATCTTTTTTGTTCCAACTTCTAGGGAATTTATAATACTATCTCTGCTAATGGCAAAACTAGAATTTTTTTTTTCATAGATACGAATGATGAAATTGGAGCCGATCCTAAAATTTAAAAAACTAACAAGAAAATCGTGCACTTTTTGAACATAAGATTTCGATCATTTGTCACCATATATGTTTTTCTTTTCTAATTACTTGTTTTCTTTTTTGTAATTTTTGGGATATAAATATATCAAACTCACAAAAAATTTAAGTAAAGTCTAAAAAGTATCAATAAAAAATGCATAGATTAATGTATAATTTTTTTAAAAGTAAGCACATTATTTAGAGATATTTACATAAATGCATATTTTTCATATGTTTAAAGTTAGCAAACTAAATTTATAGATTTGAAAGATGTTTGGCTTTCAAACAATAACATCCTAGGAGAGAATGGTTAGATAATTGCTGTGATTTGGGTATTTGATCATGAAATTTTAGATGAGTCCCATTATCTGCAATATTAGTATCTTGTCACTAGCAATAAAGATCATTTTCAAGAAAGATATCAATTCTCCAAGATGATCGAGGAAAATTTCATTGTTTTAGAAAACAAAAACAAAACTTTAAGATCTCTATTTTTATTTTTGGAGACGAAGATGGAAAAATATTTTTTTCAGATTAAATTAAAAAAAAATCAAAATTAACAGTTTTTAAAATGACTCTGATATGGAACAATTGGTATCAGATTGTCATAAGTTCAAAATTGTTGTTGGAAGCAATGAGTTTTGTAATGTTGTGTGTAAATTGAAAATTCAGCCAAGAGATAGATGTTACCTACTCACATATTTTGTATCAAAATAAAATCGAATACATAGATGGAAGATAACAAATTTAGTCATTCACGGTTGTATAAAACTCGTGAATGGATAATATCATCAAATTTACTTTTTAAATGTACCTTTCTCATAATATAGCATATATACTTGCTTATATAATAATTTATTTTCTGAAAATTCTGAATCTGTAATTTTGATTTGAAGTTTATGAAAACAAAAGTAATAGTAAATAAATGTGTAAAATACATGTGCGACAAATTATAAGAGAACCAAAACAAAACAAAAAAAACTATAGCTCATATGCGAATAATAATAGACATAAAAAGGTACGAATTATTATTATTATTATTATTATTATTATTATAACCCGACAACCCGACCCGGCATTAATGAGCCAAAAAGGAAAATATCAGAGGCCACATAAACTTGTGGCTGAGAAATGAATTGTGATGCTGACGTGGTACCCCCTTCTCTTTTATACGTATCTAAATCCCTAATTTCCACAATTCACCTCCAAATTCCCCAAATCTCCCCCAAAAAAATATTTTTCTTAAAAAAAAAAAACAATTTCACAGAGTGGGAAAGAGAAGAAGAGGAAACACAGAGACTTGCACGAGCTTCCTCGCTTCTGTTTTTTTACTAATCGAGGAAAAAAAAATGATGATGGAAAGTAGAGATCCAGCTATTAAGCTATTCGGTATGAAAATCCCTTTTCCGGCGGTTTTTGAGTCGACGGTGGCAGTTGAGGAGGAGGAAGAGGAGGAGTTTAGCGGCGGAGATGGTGGAGAGGTTAAATCAGCAGGGAAGGTATTTGATTGATTTTGCTCTGTTTTCTTACAGGAATCGATTAAAATCGATTGATATACTGTGAAATTAAAATCGAGTCAAGTAATTTTGTTTTGTCTCTATAAATCTCAGAAACTTTATACAGCTTTGAATCGGACACTCATATCCTCTGTTTCGAAATTACCATGTTTATTGAATCCGATAAGAAACTCTGTGTATTTTTATTCATTTTTGGATCTAGAGCTTCATGAACGATTTAGAGTAACTAGAGTTTGATGAAGAGTACTCTTGAATATTAATTTTTGTATTATCTCAATAATTTAAGAATATTTGTTTTGATTCTTCGTCTAGAACTTTCTTTAAAAACTTTGTTTATTCATTAATCCATTTGCAAGTGTTCTTAATTAAATGTTTATTTGCCTCTCTCTCAGTTAACTCCAGAGTTATCAGACAAATGTAACGACAACAGTCATGACAAAGAGGAGGCGACATCAACAGATCAGATAGAGATTAGCGACTCGCCTGAGGATAATCATCAGCAGCAGACAACAACCGACGGTAAAATCCTGAAGAAACCAACCAAGATTCTGCCATGTCCGAGATGCAAAAGCATGGAAACCAAGTTCTGTTATTACAACAACTACAACATAAACCAGCCTCGTCACTTCTGCAAAGCCTGTCAGAGATACTGGACTGCTGGAGGCACCATGAGAAACGTCCCAGTCGGTGCAGGACGACGCAAGAACAAAAGCTCCTCCTCCTCTCATTACCGTCACATCACCATCTCCGAGGCTCTCGAAGCTGCAAGGCTCGATCCGGGCTTACAGGCAAACACACGGGTCCTGAGTTTTGGCCTGGAAGCTCCCGTGAAGCTACAAGGAGACCAGAAGGTCTCGAACGGAGTTAGAAACGGGCTCGTGGCTCGGGTAGAGAATGGAGATGATTGCTCAACTGGTTCTTCTGTGACTACCTCTAACAATAATCATCACTCCGTGGATGAAACAAGAGCACAAAGCTGCAGAGTTGTTGAGCCACAAACGAACAACAACAACAATAACATGAGTGGTTATGCTTGTATCCCGGGCGTTCCGTGGCCTTACACGTGGAATCCGCCGATGCCTCCACCTGGTTTTTACCCTCCACCGGGTTATCCAATGCCCTTTTACCCTTACTGGACCATCCCAATGCTCTCATCACCTATGAGCCAAAAGGGTTCAAGTCCAACTCTCGGAAAGCATTCGAGAGATGAAGAATCAGCGAGAGAGGAGAATGAGACAGAGAGGAAACAACAGAGGAACGGGTGCGTTCTTGTGCCGAAAACGCTGAGAATTGATGATCCTAACGAAGCAGCAAAGAGCTCGATATGGACAACGTTAGGAATCAAGAACGAAGCGATGAGCAAGGGAGGTATGTTCAAAGGGTTTGATCAGAAGACCAAGAAGAATCACAACAACAACGATAAAGCCGAGAACTCTCCTGTTCTTTCTGCTAACCCTGCTGCTCTATCAAGATCACTCAATTTCCAAGAAGGGATTTAGAGTTATATATTCGTGAGTGTATATATATGTATGATTTGATGTATAGATGTTGGAGAATGGTGAGGTTTTTTGAGAATCAACTCTTTTCTTCTTCCTCGGTGACCTTCTTCCTTTTAGTCCCTCAGTAATCAAAATCCATCCAGATATTTAGTTACTGTACACTATTGATTTTCTTTGATTTTTCCGCTTTTTTTTTATCGTTACTTTCTTTCTTCATTTGTCAAAAAATGTTGGAAGAACATTAATGGTAAAAAGTTGACATTGACCGTTGTTGCGTTGGCATTTCAACCGACGCTTACTTGTTCTTATCTTGTGAACAGTTTGTACTTATAATAAAAAATACTCAGGATTAAACGACTAATGCGATGCATCATGCAAGTTAATTGTAAAAGTTTAAAAATATTTTTCCTTAAATCGTCCAGTATACATAAAAATTAAAATATTTTAGCTCAGAGTTCACCATAATTTTTGAAGTAATGAAAAATTGAAAACATCAGTTAAGTGACACTCGCTTTAAGATATTTTTATTAAAAAACACTCACTTTCAATTCTTTCAAAAATGGTTTACAAACACTAGTAATATTTTATTAAAGTGGATCATCAACTATTGAAAAAGGATTATCTTCGGGCTTGTATTCTATGAAACTTTGTGGGAATTTATGAAAAAGATTGAAATACTTTATATATAAATTAATTGTAATTTATTTGTTTAATTAATACTCCATCTGTTTTGGATTTTTTTTTCTTAAAATAAGTGATATTTTATAAATCTATGCAAAATGTAACATAAAATGATTTTAATTACTCTTATTTATTGATATAATTTTCAATTAAAAAACTCTAAATTCAATAAAAAAATATTAGAAATGATATTATATTAATTTTTTGATTTATGTGCACAATCAGTACCGTGCCTTTCTTTAGAGAAACCGACAAATTATAAAATATATTGTTATTTTATTTTGTTTAAATTTGAAATTTTATTTAAAGTTAATTTATTGTTAATACTATTATAGTTTTAATTAAATAAAATATAATCTCAAATATCATAACACATTTGTTCTATATATATATATATGTGTAACTACATAATATTTTTCTACTATATACATACTAAATAAAATTATGTATTTAATAGATTTGGATAAAATTATAAAAAATATAGTCTTTAAAATTATAAATAAATTTGGTGGCCTAAAGCTAATACCTTTTTAAAACATATAAAGAACGGTTATGTACACAATTTTAAAATATCACTTAATTAAGAAGAGATGAGTGTTTTAAATTGTTTTTTAGTTTGGATAAAAAGTTGAAGAAAATACAACAATTCTTGGATAATTTGTTGAGCAATCATGACAGCGCCATTTCTTATTGTGGTTTTTTGGAAATTGTTTTTGCGAATATTAAAGAAAATGGAACGGTCCCATTCCACGTAGAGACAGTCAGAATTTAATATGTTGAAAAAGTTCTTTTTATTTGCATCCTTTTTCATCCTTCTTATAATTTGGATATTGATAAATACTGAAAAAAATGGGTCACTAAATGTTTTTTACGATTTTTAGTTTGTTATTTGGTCTGTGTCTTCGAAAGCAACTTAGATATTTCAAACAGCCAAACAATTCTTAGCCACAGATATATTTAATTTTATAATTTCTGTATAAGTTTCAGTCTTTTTCTTTTAACGGCAATATTATTATCATTCTTACAACTAAAAGTATGTCAAGTTGCTTTTCTCCTTTTTGAATAATACTTTTCTTTTCTGCCTTTTTGCATTTTGTGGCAAAGCAATTTTTCTCCTTTTTACATGTTTTTCCCTACCTTGCATTAAAATAATTTTATTATAGTCTTAAAAATTAATTATGAATACAGATTTTTCGTCTTCTTTTTTTTTCACCTGATATTCCAAACGCGTTTCAACCGCTTAACGCACCACTATAATGGAAGACTTGCAAGAACTGAGTCTATCTACTTTTTGTTCTGAATGTTTGGAAAATTAATATGTACTTGCTTTTCGCAAATGGTTCCAAATATAAGACAACAACGTCATTAAGATCTTTAGACCCCTAAATAAATAATAAAAAAGCAAGGAGAAATGAACTCATTTTTCATTTTTCAACATAAACAATTAACTAAAAGTAGGCGTACTTAATCTTCTGAATTCGCCACCTGTTTATTTATTCATCTAAATGTTTAAGGGCTCTACTGTGATTGGCTAGCCAATCTTACTATAATATGATAAATTTGAAACCATAAGCAAATGTTTCTTTACAAGCATATATAACTAGCTGGTTGTAATCTAAAAGACTAAACGCATAAATGTTTTGGTTGGATTGTGAGTCGAATAATTGGACACTTTGATTTTTCACTGATATACTATTTGACTACTATTCATATACATACTGTGGGTTTATAATTGCAAAATGATACGTATCATGATTTACGAAACTGTTAGAAAACTTCTTATTATTGTTGTCATTAATTAACGATGTTCTACAGTATAGTGATTTATATAACTAGAATTAACAATAACTGTATCCTGTTAATTTTGGTCGACTAAAAAAAAAATAATGTCTTCCAAAATATAAATTTGTTTGTTCTCAACCTAATGGTTTTGAGTATAGTGAAAAATGAAAATGCACTCATGGAGGAAACAATTTGAAGAGAATCTTGAGATCAAACATTAATGTCTATACACACAAAGAAATAGGATGGTTTCATTGGGAAAAATTATGATTTAGTGTTGACTCTTAATTATCAAAGTAAAACCACACCATGAATTGGAAGTGAGAGTCAACTCTCCACTAAAAAGTATTTATATCATCTTTTTATTGGTCATCAATATTTATATCATCTATTATTATAAATACAAGTCACAACACATTTTTAAATCTATAGATTGTTTTTCTTTTGAATTATATCTACGTCCCGATTTTATTATTATTATTATTATTATTATTATTAGAGTGTGTTACTACTAAACGTATTTTTGAGTTATCTAATGTCCAAAAAAGGATTTTTGTGTTTTAATTACCATACATACTTTTCTACTATTTGGAGGAGACAAATAATTGTTTTAACATTTTTGCTTACTTATCTATATTATTTCTTTATTTAATATTATATTAATATCACATACTTCCCATAATTGTTTGTTGTTATTTATCTATTATTTAAAAAATAATCAAATAATTATTTTGACATTATAAATTATATAATTTTTTTAATACTTTGATATCTATTTTATATTTTTTAATTTTTTTTTATCATTTAATGATAAACACATATGTATTCATATAGTAGCATCTACGTAAACACAAATAGATTGATATCTATGCAATTATATAGATATATATGTATACACATATGTATCCATATAGTAACATATACGTCAACACACAATATATGGATATATATATGAATATAAATGGATATAATTATATGAATACATATATATTTACATATCTATATGCATATATTATAGATGGATGTAATTATATAAATATATGTGCATATTTATATGTGTATCTATATAGTTACATATATATAGATGAATTCCATACAATTTAATGTGTGAAAACTGATAAATTAAAATGGATCCAATGTAATTTAGTGTGTAGAAGTTGATAAGTAGATTTAAGTGAATCTCGTATGTTTTAGTAAGGTAAAAAAAAAAGGATAAAAAATCCAAAAATGGAAGTAAAATAAGATAAATCCACCTGATTCAAAAAATGTCTTTTTTAGCAATTATATTTTCAAAAAGTACACCTAATAATAATATTCTTTTATTATTATTATTATTATAAAGTTATAGTTAATGCAAAAGATTTAAATAAACAGAAAAATAAAAATCAAGCGAGAGAATGAGTGCCAGGAAAAGTTTAGTGAGTAGATTTCCATAAGGACAAAGGAAGGGCTTTCCACAACGGAAGGCACTTCTACGATGCTGACACGTACTTTAGACTCTCTCGAGGAAGACCTGACACGCCTCAAAAAAGATAAGTAAAAAAAGTAATAGAAAGAGATCTTTTTGTATTCTTTCTTAACTTTAATAGTTTAATGTTTCAGGTTAAAAACATTGCCATATTATGTAAATAAATAACTATATTTATCGTGAATAAATTATTATAATCAATCTTTTTTTGGTTGCCCATAAATCTTTTTATTAAATCGGGAGACCAATTCACTAAAATCCAAAAAAGAAGAAGATTAGAATACACTTGTAAAAAAAAAAATCCAATTTATTTACTCGAGAAACGAATAAACAGGGACAAATAGTATGTTTCTAGAAGGACAAAAGGCACAAAGCTAAAAAAGCTTTCTTCAAAGTTCAAAGATAAGAGCATCTTAGGAGGAGTGCTTAGGTAATTTAAAAAAAAAATTAAATTATAAAAATAGAATAATTATGCTTACATAAGAATTGTAAACAGCGATGCTTAACAGATACTAGTAGACATTGTTATAAAATGAAGATGATTTTAAATTTAATAATTAAATAATATTTAAGCATCCTCTTTAGAGTTGCTATCATTGAACATGGTCTAAGAATCCATGAAGAAAAGAAAACACTCATTTCCATTTTATTGTTTCCCTAATAAATACGATATATTGTGTAGAAGACAGTTTTTTGTTTATCAGAAGACAAAGTTTCCATATTAAAAAAAAAATTACATAGACTCGAAACTAAATAGAGTATATATCAACTAAAACAAATAATGTACTACATAACTCGCATGTTTTAGAAATGACAAAATTTACAGATTCTTGTCCTCCAAGTAAATATTGAAGAACCCTTCGTTTTCATTTCCCAAACAATAGATCATCCGAGAAAAGCAAGAAAGAGAATCAAATACAGATCACTGAATCCTGCATCCACTGGACTCGGCCGCACGTTGTACATTCCCATAAGCTGTTAGCTCAATGAGGTCCATATCACGGCCTAAACATTTATTTTGCAAAAGAGCAGTTTAGGATCAAAAACTTAGTTAATAGTTTGTTCTATAAAAGAGAATGAAGGATACTGGAAAAATACCAGCAACTCGGCAGTAGGAACTCCTCTGGATAAGCTCGGCTCTTGAAATATCTGTTTTATTTCCCTTTGATCGGTTTACCTTTGCCTGCAACGTAGAACAAAACACAGTCAAATGACCCAAGAGCTTATGGCCTACTGTATACGACGAAGAGTAAAAAGCTAAATGCCTTAAAGAGTATGTTTGGTTAGAAGTTTTGGAGTGAAGTTTATCGTCTAAGAAGACTTAACTAAACAAAAGCTGGTCACAAGTCGAATAAGGGAGAATTGTAACTATAAACACTTATATTTTAGTAGACAATTAGACATCAATAAACCTTAAATGGTTATAAGTTTTAGTTTAGATTTCCACACGAGTAAGCTGCGTACCTGCAGGACTTGACAGTTTTCCAGAGTGCTCTTGCCACCCTAGAAACAATTGAAAGATAAATTATTCAGATACTTTGGAAGAAACATGAGCACTTCAATGACATATTGTTCCATGTTGATGACAATATCTTCCTCCTGCATATTATACTCTATATCTACTATGAATTCAGTTACATTATACGATTCAGCGAAAAAAAGAAATAGATTCATCATCAATACAAATAAATCTCAATTTGGAATATTAGGGTCACAACCATATCAACCAAAATGAAAGCAAGAAACATGACAGCAATAGTTCCAGATTCCCATAGCTTTCTGGATCTTTTAGACACTAATTCTCCCTTCCGAGAGGTTTCATAGTTTTTTTTGTTAATTTATCTCTAATTGTTCTAACAGCGTCCAGAAGCTGCAAATATTTCACCGTAGAATCAAAGTCGTGGAATCCTACCAAAAATCCTATCTTTGATGTGAAATGAAGCAAACTTTTAGATACAAGAACCCTTGTGGACACATCTCCTTAGATTTGGTTAATCATAAATAACAAAAGAGACTTCAGTAAACAAACAATATTACGCAAGATAAAGAGCACAAGACTTTAGACTTTGTTCAGTCTTCAACATGAGAGCACAAGGACGAAAAAAACCATTTCCCTCAGATCCCAAATCAAGAATGTATAAAAGCAAGAATTTCGAAACCACCGAAAACATCAGATTTCAAAAGCTCAATAACACAAATGAAGCAAATACATTCCAGAACTGTATTGAAACGACCTAGGAGCAAAATTCTCGGAGATCAAAGAGTCATCAAGTTTCTAAACCAAAATTCCAAATACTCCTAAAGAATCATGAAGTTTTCAGCTCAATCCTAAACCCTAAAATAACTAGGAACTCATCGGCAAAACAGAGTCTCATGAAGTGAGATTAGTAAAAATCGACCCTGAAGAAAAAGACAGACCTTGGAGTAAGGAACAATGTGGTCATAATCATGGCACAAGCATCCAGGACAACCTACGAGCTTCCTAAACACAATGTTGCCTAAGTGATCTCTCCGCCAACGCTCAGGATCTCTCCCTTTAATCTTCTCCGCTTTTTCCCAGCATTGCTGCTTCACGCTGTAAGGGAAGCTCCTCGGCTCCGGGTTCGGGTCATCGTAACCCGACCCGGTAAAGAGACCCGTCTCCTCGCGGTCGACTAAAGCGGCCGAAGTTGTAAGCTTTCCGCCGCGGGATTCACCGGAAGCCCGGTTGGGTGACCCGGGTCGGGTTTTCGACGGGGAAGAAGAAGATAAGGCTCGGTTTCTGCGTCTCTGCTGGTCTTTGCCGGCGCCGGGTTTCATCGCCGACTGTTGAGCTCTGATGATTTCTTGTTGATTATCCGAATCAAAAGAGGAGTTTTTGTGATTTAATTTGACGAAGAAAATCAAAAGATTACAGATTCTTCTTGAGACTATTGTCGTAGGCCAATCCATTTCTTACAGTCTTTAGGCCCATAAACACACACACACGCGCGAATATACATGTGTAGATGGGCTCGTGTGTTAATTATTGAAGATGTTTGATTTGGATACTCGTAATTTTGCTATCTACAAAGATAAGAGGTAGACATGAGAGGAAGAAACTTTGTATTTGTTCTTCCTTCTTAGGATGTTAAATTCATCACAAGACCTTTTTTTTTTTGGTACCGAGATTAAGACATTTACACAACCCACGCCTCATGTTTTCGTTTTTAGCTTTGATTAAGTTAAGTTACTTTTCATTTACAAGATTTTTGATTTTAAACGATTTGGTCATCTAATAACGTTTCCAATCATAATTTTTGAAAAGTTTTTTTGGCGAAGTAAAATGGATGGGAGGTCGAGCATTGCCACAAACGTACTAGAAGCGGAGGCTCTCTGATGGGCGATTCTCATGACCTCTTGCCTATCCTATAGACAGGTGATCTTTGAGACTGATTGTAAAACTTTAGTTAATGCACTTCGAAGGCGAGCAGTGGCCGGTTCTAAGTGCATGCTTTCAGGATATTTCCTGTCTTCTTACAAGTCTTGATAACGTGAGGATTGAATTCCAAAAGGGGGAGAGTAACAGAGTGGCTGATAGAGTAGCTCAGGAATCATTATCTTTTGATATAAATGTTCCTAAGTTGTATTCTTGTGTGCCAAGTTGGATTGTAAAAGAAGTAGAGGAGGATAAATCAGAGTTGTAATAAACCTTTGGAATAATATGAGTTAGATGTTGAGCCAAAAAAACAAAAAAAAACATAGCTTGATTATATCTTTAATTGGCTTTTGTTTTAATTTTCTTTCCTACTTTAAGCTTTAGCTTGTACATAAATTTTCGGTTGATAGATAAATTTTTAAATATCATCAATATGAACACAAGTTTCTTAATTCTAATAATATATTGTATCTTCAATAATCATTTTTTTTACTTAGTCCAATTTGTTAGTCCTCTATCAGGTACTACCATATATATATAGATCCAGTAGTGTATATATCCAGTAGTGTATACACAATCTTTAGGAATCACTATAATATTGAGCTCTATAATATTTCGCTTGAAATTCCGTTATATATAAAAAAAGACTACAACGTGAAAATTCCGTAACAATAAACTTTTATGTTATCAACATTTGACCCCCAAAAAAATTACATACATGTTTTCAACCAAAAAGTGATAGTGGATTGGAAACTGAATTAACACGAAGAATCTTCTCATATTCCACATAGCGAAACATTCCAAAGGGGTCGGTGAAAGCAACATGATTATTAATTGAAGAAAACGTTACCGGGAAATTGCATGGAAATTTCCATGTACTGGAATCCAAGATAAGGAAAGACACTCTCACTCAATTTTCGACTTTATTAATTTCAGAATGTTTTCTGCTCTTGGGTATGATGAGAAGTTGAGAACATCTTTTTATTTAATTAGGAAATCCAAATTAAAAAAGTAAAATAAAACATTATCTAGGTAATGACTACTAATGACTACTATTTTACTATCATATATAGTGATTGTTATTCTTATCTAGGATCATTTTTAATGAAAAACTGCTTATAAGGATATATATTTGCGGTGAATTTTAAATAACATTTTTAAAATATTTTCCTTGCTCTTCTCAAGAATTGTGGTAGTTTCTCAACAATTTCCGTAGAGACTTCTTCCGCAGACTTTATGAGTAAGATTTGTTTTGGTCTTCCTAAAAGATTACTTAACTAGAATGGTGGCGCCCCTTATAAAATTGGACCATGCTCAACACACATATTATCCATTCTTTGAAATCAAAGAGAGAGATAAAGAAACTTCATAAAAAATTGTTTATGGTATTCCACACACATAAATTTAGACTAATATGGACGATTCATCTGTTCTTAGCCCAATCTCTCTTCTCACCATAGCCATTCTCTTGTTCATTCTCAACCTCATGATGATAATCCAAGACTTCTCTTCGTATTTTCCCTATCCTCTCCATCTCTTCTTCTATAATGCCTACATTCTTTTTGCGTCAACAAGAAACAAGAAGCAAAATATGACTGAGCTCCTGATCATAAAGAAAGGTTTTGTCCCTACTCGAGTAGATAACAAGATGTCAGTGGAAGAAGTCAAGGCGATGATCGATGACTCGGAAGCTTTATACGAACGTTTGATAGAAGAAGGAGAAGAATACTTGCTTGAGAAGAGTGAGATGATGGGTAAGGAGATAGTGAAGAGGGCGTTTAGATTGTTTGATGAGAATCAAGATGGGTTTATAGATGAAAATGAGTTGAAACATGTTTTGTGTTTATTAGGATACGATGAGTGTACAAAGATGGAGTGTAGGAGGATGATTAAGGTTTTTGATGAGAATAGAGATGGGAAAATTGATTTTTATGAGTTCGTGAAGCTCATAGATAAGAGTTTTTCTTGAAACATATACCGAAACAATAGTTAATTATGTTGGTGACTAATTGAGGACAGAGGACCTGTCTAATATACTTCTTTTTTTTTTGTCGTCGTCGTCTAATTAACTTATTTTTGTTTATATATTCATTGCTCTGTAAATTTTGTAGAAAGTGATAATACAAGAGGAATTATTCAGGTATCCGACTACACAAGGAGTCTTAAGCTTCATAAGAGTTATAATAACGAATATTCAACATGTAACAACGTAAATTAAAATTCGTGATGACTTTGTATGGTTTTGAATATTCATTATCATGAATTTGGTTTTGGATGCCGTCTTATTTTCTATATTATGAAGAAATAGTCGTAATCTGTATGTATAACAAAAAGTATACCAAAAAACCCTCAAATTTTCATTGTATATCATTCAAATTAATAACGGCCCATAAAATAAAATCATTCCAATTAATAATATGTCATAAACCATGTGAACTCTGGTTCAGTTTCATCGGTTTAATATTTTTAACATTTTTTTGTTTGTTTTGTCAACACTTTTTTTTTGTCAACTAAGAAGGAAAATACTTCCTATCTTAGATGATTATGAGAGAATCGGACTTTGGATTTAGGTTCCACTTTGCCAATTCATTTCCATTTGATTGGTTGAGGAGAATTCTCAGTCCAGTATAATATTTTTATCCAAATTAATGACACGTGATATGAAAATGGACCCCACACTATCTTATTCCGACCAATCTCAAAGAACTTAAAAATCCTCAAAGATACGCTACCAAGATAAACCGATAAGCCTTTACCTCACCTCAACTCCATCTCATCCGTATAATCAACCACGTCATATGATCCAACGGTGGATACTCAGTCACTAAACCACAGCCACAAACAAAGAAAAAAAATCTCAAATAAACTTACAAATCCCTCAAAGTCTATTTCTTCACAATCATCTCCAAACACATCTTTCAATCTCTTGATTCAAACATTTCTCTTCTGTTTTCTCGGGTCGGATCAGGTGTAGGGAACATGGCGACTGTCACTACTCAAGCCTCGGCCTCGATCTTCCGACCATGTACCTCGAAGCCAAGGTTCCTTACCGGTTCTTCCGGTAGATTGAACCGCGAGTTGTCGTTTAAATCGATCGGCTCATCCTCAAAAACGGCGTCGTTCAAGGTTGAAGCTAAGAAAGGAGAATGGTTGCCCGGTTTGGCATCCCCTGGTTATCTCAACGGCAGGTAATTGTTTCACAAACTACATTCAATTTTGGTTTAACACAACTGAACTGATTGCATAATTGGTTAGTTTTCGATACCGGTTTAGCTAATGTGTATGCTGTATAATTGTATAATTTACAAAAATCCGACCAACTAAATAAATCAATTTGGTTTGGTTAATTTAGACCGGTTCTCTCCGGTATTACCGGTTTAGCTAATGGTCACTCTCATTTGCAAATTGTAGTCTTGCTGGTTAGTTTTCGCTACCGGTTTAGTTAATGTGTATGCTGTTTTATTGTAATTTACAAAAATCCGACCAAATGAATAATCAATTTTGGTTTGGTTAATTTAGAACCGGTTCTGTCCGGTATTACCGGTTTAGCTAATTGTCACTCTCTTTTGCAAATTGTAGTCTTGCTGGTGACAATGGGTTTGACCCCTTGGGACTAGCAGAGGATCCAGAGAACTTGAAATGGTTCGTCCAAGCAGAGCTTGTCAACGGACGGTGGGCTATGCTCGGCGTCGCAGGGATGCTTTTGCCGGAAGTTTTCACCAAGATCGGTGAGTCACCATTATAACATGAAACCATTTGTAACATTTCTTTCAAGAACTTAACACAGAGATTTTCTTGAAACTGGTCACTGTTGGTAGGAATCATTAACGTTCCGGAGTGGTACGACGCTGGAAAAGAGCAGTACTTTGCATCATCGTCGACATTGTTCGTGATCGAATTTATCTTGTTCCATTACGTTGAGATCAGACGGTGGCAAGACATCAAGAACCCAGGAAGTGTGAACCAAGACCCAATCTTCAAGCAATACAGCTTGCCTCCAAATGAAGTTGGTTATCCAGGAGGAATCTTTAACCCTCTTAACTTTGCTCCCACGGTCGAGGCCAAGGAGAAAGAGCTCGCAAACGGTAAAGCTAATCCTATTTCACGCAAGAAAGTGATAGTTAAGAGTTAAAGAGGCTAAAGACCGTTTTCTGTTGTTGTTTGTTGTTGTTGCAGGGAGGTTGGCAATGTTGGCATTCTTAGGGTTTGTGATTCAACACAATGTTACTGGAAAGGGACCATTTGAGAATCTGTTGCAGCACTTGTCTGACCCATGGCACAACACTATTGTCCAAACCCTTAGCTGAAGATTTTAAGACAGACTTTTATGAAACTCGTATCTCTATCTATCTTCTGCTACTTTCATGTCTATCTTTATGTGTGTTGCGTCTTAGAGTTCTTGGTTTTTGAGCGTGAAATCAGTATTGGAATTTGTTGTAGCTCCATGAACGAATTTACAAATCTTCAATGTACAGAGGAACTAAGTTAATCATGATTGTGCTACTCTTTAAAATCTAATATATTCATGTGGTACAAGCACATCATAAGTTATAATCCCAACCTGTTCAAACATTTGCAACAAGAAACCCTAAAGTTTAAATATAGACAAATGGCTACCACCAACCAAATCATTGGCTACACATCTTGAGAGACAAGTAGTACACACGTCGAACTAAAGAAAAAGAAGAGAATATAGACATCATTAGTGTTGTTAAGGATATAAGCAGGTTTCAGCAGGTTATTTGCTCTGTTTTGTTACTGTCCTCTGGACCGTTGAAACCCCGTCCACGAATTTTGTTCGGAAAAGAACATTGGCGTTGTTGAACATTCCTTCTTTCAGAGAAACCACGATGAACTGAAAGAGAAAAAGGTTTACGATATTCAGAATCATGGGAATAGCTAGTGACTACAAGATCACAGAAACATATAGATTATGTAACCTGTGAATGCGGGAAATGAGCTTTGATCATTCTTCCTATGTTCTGCGTGTGGCTAAGATCGAGAGCTGCATCAACCTAATAAATCAAAGTAACGAATATTATTCTATGTCCTCTAAAAATGTGAGCAAAACATGAAAAGGTCCTGTGATCGTGAACATTTCAAGATCACTGGAAACATGAAAATGGAAAGTCAGAAGAATCCATGGTCACTGATTCATAAAGATGGAAAATCTAGATGTACCTCATCTAAGATATAAAGAGGGGCTGGCTTGAAGAGAAGCAATGCCAGGATTAAAGATAGTGCAAGAAGAGATCTTTGCCCTCCACTTAGTTCAGATAGAGACTGTTTCCAGACACTTCCAAAAGCAACACGGACCTCAAGACCATCAAGGAAACTACCGCCTTCTGGAGGTTCTAGTTTGGCCATGGTGCCAGGTAGTAGAGTTGAAAAGATGGAACCAAAATCCCTGAAGATAAAGATCCAAGTGTAAATATCGTAAATTGTTCCCGATATGAAGTAAAATGAAATTAATGACATGGCTAAACAAAAAAAAAAAGAAAACTAAATAAGCAACTCACTGATTAACTTTAACCCATGTAACTTTCAGGGTTTCTTTTTTCTTCTCATCAAGCTCCTCGATCACTTTCTTGATTTTGGTTTTGTCAGTCTATGAAAAACAAAAAAAAACTACAGTTAACAAAAGGCGTAAAGCTGTTAAAATTTGTCGCACAGACCCTCCAAAACTAACCTCGATTATATTTTTTTTTGACATAAGAGCATTGTATTCATCTTCTGCCTTCTCAAACATAGCCATGACCTTCTTGTTCACTCTTTTCTCAAGACTATATAAGAGAAATGAATAGCAGGAAAAGAGAGAAGCAAAGATTTCTCACTTAGTCACAGATAAGAAACAAGAAAAAAAGGAAAGCATATTCCATTGATATTGGATTGAATGAGTATGAAGATTATATCGGTTGCAAAATTAAATCTATGAGAATCCTCAGAAACATACCTTGATTGATCTGTTTGGAGCCTTTCAAGTTCTTCTCTTGCTTTATAAGGATCGCGGGATTCAAAATCATAGTCCGTCCCTTCTTTTCCAAAAAGCTGCTTCTCGGATGTTATCCATGTATGCTTCTCAACAAGTTTGTCTACCTTCACAGAGCAATCCTTCTGCTCCATCGCCATCCTTGTTACCTAATCAGAGGAAACATTTCGCCCATGTCAAGTGAGCATTTCCTTAAGATGTAGAAACTCAGTAAATTCATACTTAATACACTTCTTATAAACAAGTACGGTCCAATTTTTTATTGCAGTCAAATACTTATATCCGTCTTTATTCCAAAAAACATCAAGAAGTTTAAGCAACTTAGAAATCACTTAGGCATCTATCATTAAATAGGGAGACTGCCGCAAGAATAAGGCATGCGTTCAACTGATACCAACTCCAGTAAAAACAAATGGAAGAGAGAATACCTCATTTTCCAACTTCTTTCTCTCAAGCTTCATGTCACTAATTTTCTGCAGAAATTTTTCCTTGTCTGTAATAAAACCATTTATCTGTGTATCACATTCCTTCATCTTTGCATGTATCAACTTGAGCTCAGCGAGAGACTGATCGTGATTCTTCTGTATAGCATCCACCTGTAGGGGAATCACATCCACATATTACTCATATATTCTTTAAATTTATAGGACACCAAGAGAAACAATTGCAGTACCTTGGCTCGTTGATTGTCCACATCTGAAGCCAGAGTGCTAATTAGCGTCCTCAATGAAGCTAGCTGGCTCTCTAAAGATATCTGTTCCTGCAGCACTGCTTCTTGCTCCATCAAAAGCCGCTCTCTCTCGTTTTCATGACCCTATGAGCAAGAAGTACCATAGATCAAAAGCTATAAAGCCATTTTAGAAATGCAAAAAGGGCTGAAACCAGGATAAAACAGGATTAAGAAAAGAATTGAAGAAGTTCAATTGCAGAGTAAAAGTGTTTTACTGATCTGGAATACCTTCAGATCTTTTGAGGATGCCTGAATACGAGCTTTGATGGTTTTAATATTCCTCTCCAAGTCTTTGAGTCTTCCCTCTCTGTTCTTATCATGATCTTTGATGGATTTTTCTAGCGTGGAGACAGTATCAGCACAACTTTTGTAACGACCTTCCTTCTCTTTGATTTGGGATCTCATTTCTTCAAACTCCTCTTCGAGTTTCTTCACCGCTTCACCAAGCTATATATACAATTGGTAGATGGGAGAGAGATTATTAAATGTGCTTTCAGCAAAGTTTGAATAGTGAATTTAAGCTAGAAAGATTTTAAGCTCGAAAGATGTAGATAGGAAATAGAGATACGTGGAAAAAAGAAGTTGCAAAATGGAGATACAAAACCTTGTGGTGCTCGTTCTGTTCAGCCCTTTTTAGAAATAAGGATAGGTCATACATTTTCAGCTCCAACTGTGCTTTCATGTCTGTGAACTTCTTTTGAAGAGGCTGAAGCTCCTTGATCTGCATTGTTAAGATAAACCAGCAGGAACCCAAAGACAGAGCCGAACATGAGAGTTACTTATGCTGCAACGGAATTTACAAAACACTTGCTTCATTTGAGCCAGCAACAAGTAAACTGATTGAGTATCTGAGATGAAGAGACATCTAAACAAGGTTAAAAGTGTCATATTCAGCAGCTAAGGTTATATTTTCTTTTCGATCACCAATGAACAAACATAAGCCTGTTCCCACTGATCCAGATATAATTTTAACCTGAAGAAAATGACTATGGTTTGCGCTTCAAGCGGTTCGTTAGAAATTCTATGATGTCTAACTCAGCTGCCAAACCCCAAAGTGTCTTTTTTTTTTCTAAAAGGAAAGCAATAGCCAATGAAAAATTGAAGACTTTTACCTTCGCTTCAATTTCATACAACCTTTTCTGGTGTACTTGAAGTTTTGTTTCAGCCTCTGCCAGATCATGAAGTTGTCTTAGCAGATCACCTCCACCCCTAAGACAGAAAAAAAAAACACAATGTTTTTGGTCAATTTTTTAGGAATTGCTGAACCAAATCTGTATGAAATCAAGTACATGAACGCCACGAGCAATCCAGAGGTCTAATAGAAAGAATGACATACTTGCGACTTCCACCAGTAAGAAAACCACTTGGCTGAAATATATCACCTTCAAGTGTCACAGTTGGAGTTGAAATTTCCCTATTAAAAGCAACCTGCCGACCAAGCATTTGAGGGTTAAATTAAAGAATGAGACATCTAACGAAAACAGAGAAGTCTTGCCATCGACATTAGGTCAGGAAAATAGATTTATAAACCAACAAATCGATCAAGTTTTGAGAAAGGAAAAACAGTATTGCGAACGATAAACCTAAACAATGAGAACTCTCCCCACGGCCAAATACCACAGCCAGAAAGGCTAGAGAACTAATTCTTATAGGGTCATTCCATTAATATAAAGCAGGAAACTCGTTTGGAAATTTAACTCTAATAATCAGAGATAATGTTGAGTTAAGAGACTATATGACAAAAGCGCAACTGAAAATGCTTGTCAAGTAGGGCTGTTATACAAATAGCTTAGAAAAGCAAAATGCATCTCTACAACATACTCCGGGAACACAGAGTAGAACACAAATACTCTAATGTCTACGAAATACTTACTTTATTTGCCACATCAGTAGTTTTGCAAACAAAAGTGGAACCAAAAACATATTCCATGGCATTCTGCAAAGAAATAGAGATGTCAAACGAATATTAATAGTCTTGGACTCATGGTATCAGTCTGTCCGTAACTAAATGTTCTAAAACAACAAATCATCAGTTACAGCTCATGAATCTGCTGAAATTATTGTCTGCATTGCATGATAGAAAGTAACCAGAAAGTTAATAATCTAATGGATGTTAACGCACCTTTAATTCTTGATTATAGCCAACTAAAGAAAGAGCCAGTTCCGCATTACCCTTCCCCACCTGAGAATAATAAAAAAATCAGCAAGGAACAAAGAAAAAGAAATTGAATTTGACAACAGAAGATCCACATACCAATCTAACAGCGGCTTGCTGCACTCTAGGTGAAACTAAGCGAGATTGAATTTTGTTAAGAGGAATAATTGTAACTCGTCTCCGTAGATCACCCTTTTGAAGGAGCTGTTTTCCAGTATCTTCTGTGTCTACAACAACATTAAACAACTTCCCGGCAGCAGTAACCTGAAAAATAAGTCACCTTAAAAGAACTGAAATGATCGGAGAATGTATAATGATAAGTTAATAGCCTACTTGCCTCCAAAGCTGTCATTGCGGACCTATCATTTACTTTTATCAGTTCTGCAACCACCCCTTTCACTTTTGATCGATCAAAGTTCTTCACAGGATCGCGGTACGTAAACTTAACATTTGCTAATTGAGCTGAAAGATCACGCACTTTGTTATTCAGCCTTTGCCCAATTTCAAGTTCCGATCCTCGATCCTAAGAAAAAAGTCCAGTCACAGATGTATTCTTTACATAACAGAGGACGGAAAAAAAAATATCAAGGAACAAGCATGCTAACCTTCTCTAATGCTTCCATCTGACCCTCTTTATATGGAAGAGAATCAAGTGCCCTTTTTGCGTTTTCGACATCATCTTTTCTAGCATTAAGTTCATTTTCCACTGCAACAGCTTCTTCTCGTTTTGACATCAACTGGGACTTTTTCTCTTTTAGTTCTTTTTCACAGTGACTAATTTTGGTATTCAGCTGCTTCAACTCCGTTTCAGCTGTGCCAACAGAAATCTTTGCATCACGTAATTGATCTTCAAGGCATTTCTCTTCATCTCCACTACTCTTACCAGCTAGGACACCCTATTTATCAAGGGACATAAATCCAATTAGCCTACAAGATAGACTAATCCAATTTGGCAGTAAATAAAGGTTCTTTTTATTGGTACTACCTGGTGTTCTCTTTCACACTCTTCCAATGTGGTGGAAAGTTCCTGAAATTGTCGTTTTAGATCTGCTGCTCCTTCGTCGGACTTTTTCAGAGCAGAAGTTCTCTCTTCTACAGATCTCTTCAAATCTTCTATATTATGAACAATCTGGCAACACCAAAAATTGTCAGAAATCGCCTTAAGAATCTGCAGCAATTCCAACCCAAGGTAAGACCTCTGAACTAACCTTTTCAGCATTTTTTTCTTCGCCCTGAAGGGTGTCCTCCATATTATTAAGCTTGGATAATTCACGTGTCACTTCATTAGACAGTGAATCCACTTTGTCAGACAAAGTTTTTACTTCTCCCCCCATGCTGGCTTCCCTTGCCTGAGTCAAAGCTATTACTTGTTCCTCCAGTTCTGATACTTCTCCCTGCGTCTTTTCTATCTCTTCGTCAATACTTGCCATTTTTGTCTTCATCTGTTCAACCACATGGAGGGAGTTGTCTCTGATTTTCTCTGCTTGAACATATTCAAAAGCGATACAGAACCTCTTTAGCCGATCTAGTTCCGCATTACCATTAGCCCACTGCATATACTGCGACTTTTCTCTCCTCAGCTTCTCCAAAGCTGGCGAGATCTCTTGGTCTAGGAGCTTATTTATCTCATCAACCTTGGCTTGCTTTTTCTCAAGTGTTTTAAGTGCAGCCTCTTTCTTGTTCTCATACATTCTCGTACCAGCAGCTTCTTCAAGCATCGATAAGATCTCGGGAGGTTTCATGTTCAAAACTTTGGTGATGCGCCCTTGCATAATGAGAAAATGAGGGTTATTGACGTTAAGCTGCACCGAGTGGAAAAGGTTCTGGACTTGACTTGGTTGGGCAAGCTTCCCATTGATCAAATACTTGTTCCTCCCACCAACTACAATCTTCATAGCCAAAGACACAAAGAAGTTGAGAAACCCTATTCACAGAAGCCTTATAACATAATCTAATTCAATCAAACTATTATTTAGTTATCCAAATTCCTCAATTCAAGCAAGAAATTTATAGCTTTCACTCTAAGCACAAGTAAAAGCTGAGAAACCTTATTCACCCAAACTAATCCAATCAAACTATCATCATTTGGGTATATCCAAATTTCTATTAAAACTTAAACAAAGCTTCTCAATTCAACCAGAAATTTCCAAGTTTTCAGTAGAGAGAAAGCTTCCCATTGATCAAATACTTGTTCCTCCCACTAACTACAATCTTCACAGCCAAAGACACAAAGAAGAAAGGTCACTCTAAGCACAACTAAAACCTGAGAAACCTTATTCACCATAGCCTTATAACATAATCCAATCCAATCAAACTAAGTTAAACAAACCTTTTCGATTCAACCAGAAAGTTCTAATTTTTCAGTAGAGAGAAAGAGAGATAAGACCTACTTGTCTAGTGACGGTAATCTCCGAATGTTCTTCATAGCCGAGAGGACTCCTATTCCTGTGGGAGTTATCGAAGGTAACCGACACAGTGGCCTTCGTAATCCCGGCTTGACCTTGCTTGTAAACGAGCTCCTGGAGATTAGCGGCTCGAACCTGCTGGAGATTAGTGATACCCAGAACGAAGCAGATGGAATCGAGGATGTTCGATTTGCCGGACCCATTCAGACCCGTAATCGCGTTGAAATGCGGGTCAAACCCCGGAACCACCGTCCTCATCGCGTACGATTTGAAACCCTCCAAGCATATCTCCTTGATGTGCATCCTCCCCAAATTTTACCCTAGAATAGCGAGATGAGAAGCTAATCCCATAAACCCTAGAAATGGAGTTCGACCAATTACCCGGAGAAGACGAAGAATCACAGCAAGCGTAGTTCCGAAATTGAAATCGCAGATATACAGAATCTAACCGTTGCAGGAGAGCAGCGACAAATCTAAACAAGTATTCTTTTATTTCCTTGCGAAATTGAATTCTCCAGAATTAGGCATTTCGATTTGAGCAAAAGCGCGGGAAACTGAATATTCTCTAACCCTACCCTAACTTTCCAACTCGTCCAGAAGGTTCTTCTCTCTTGACTAACCTCTAAGCCAGCTAGAGTGTCTCTCTCTCTTTCTCTTTAGGGTTTAGGGATGTTAAAATGGGTAAATCCATCCTTAGATCCGCCCCCATATAGACCTAAGACTCGTTTAGTTTTAAGGGTTTAAGGGCATCTCCAACCGGAGATGACTCCAAGTTCATAAGTGGGTCTGCTTTTTTTTTGGATAAAAAATTAATAAAAAATGCTGAAACTCGATCATCCGACATCTGGTATCATCCGAGTGATATTCTTGAACCCGTATCATCAGAGGTTCATCGGCCACATGTCGTTTTCTCATTCGTCACAGGGTAAATGGGAAAACAAATTTCGACGCTCTCTCTCCTACTCGGGTCTTCGTTTTGTCGACGATCCTTCTTTCTCCTCTTGTGGCGATGATTCCGTGAGAAGACGAATCCGTGAGAAGACGAATCCATGAGAACCCAGAAATCTTTTACGAATTACACGAGACTAGTGCCCTGATTCGCCGCGAGCTTGACGGATTAGGTGCCTCCTACTCTTTCCTAGTCGTGAAAACCGGGATTGTTGCTCAAATCGGGTCGGGTTCTCCTCCGTATTGCTCTCCGAGCCGACATAGACGCTCTCGACAGCAAAATCGACGGCAAAATGCATGCTTGTGACATAAGCTCAATGTAAGCCTTTTCTTCTTCATTCTCTGGTTTGGTTGAAGTAAATGTGTTGTGAATTTGAAGGATTAGCGAAATTTGAGGTTAATGTGGGCTTCTTTGATGATAACATTAGGTTGGAATTTGAATCAGAGGATTACACATTTGATGTTTATGTGACGAAGGATAGAAAAGTCTGATTCCGTTTTCTGTTTCTGTGTGTTTCAGGACTTTAAGTGCCAAGGATGCTTCAACATGTGAGTTGTCTAACTTGCTTGTTTGGTATTGATCTGAATCTTGCTCCATTGAAATTCTAGCTTGGTTATTTGTTTATTACATATACTAGAAAGAAACTGTCCAGTGTTTAAAAATCAGTGGCGATGTAGTCTAGTTTCTTGGTTTTTCTCAATACATAAGTCGTCGTCTACAGAGTCGACTAATGTTGAATGTTGTTTTACTAACGTTAGTCTATATATTGGTATTAGGAAGAAATTGTCCTCTGCTTTTAAATCAGGAATGATGTGAATTTAAATTGTCGATGTTTCTCTTTACTAATTATACTCTGCAGAGATGGATAATGTTGATTAGATACTGATTTATTAGCTATAGATTGGTATTAGGAAGATGGTACAGCTTTTAAATCAGTAGTGTGATGTGAAGAGATTACAGTTTTATAGTAATGTATTGTTTGTGTGTGGGTTATTTGCAGAACCACTTTAGCCATTCTCAAACAGTTGTAATGTGTGGAAACTGTCAGACAGTTTTGTGCCAGTCCACCGGTGGTAAAGCGAAGCTCAGAGGGATGCTCTTTCAGGAAGAAGTGAGGGTAAGATTCCAACAAATCATCATCTGTTGAGAAAGATTTCTTGTTTAGTATAATGTCCATTACGGTTTTTTATTTATTTGCTTATGAGAAAGATTTTGAAGGAATGAAACTATTACAGTAGAATCTACGTTCCTTTCTCGAGTTTCATCAGTTGTCTTGTTTCTTGTTCATGTTTGCATGTTGGTTGTTGTCATTCGCTGAATAAACGATCATTGTTAAATGTGAAGGAAAATCATTGTTAAAACTTTTTTTTATGTAATAAATCAAATTTTAAAAAAAAAAATTAAAAAAAAAAATATTTTAATCGGATAAACCTCAAATACGAGTTTAGGATTGGAGATCGATTTTAAGTAGAAGTTCATTACTGTTCCTTAAAAAAAATATTATTAAAATACACCTATGATCCCATTAAGGGGATCAGCGTTGGAGATGACCTAATACGTGTAAACTACACTTATTTTATTTATTTTTTATTTTCCTTTTCTAAATTGCTGTGTTTTAAGGCTCTAAGATATAGAGGTTAAGTCTAGATTGTAAGAATCATTCAAGCTAGAGAGAGAGCTTTAAAGGTTTCATTCGATTAGGCAAACACAGTTCTCTTTGTGGGAGTAAATTTACTCTTGTTACATTATCGTTTTGTTTCATATTATTATATAATAAAAGTTTTGGTTTTAAATCGATTATATCTCTAACACAAACACATCTTCAGTGGGAACACATCTTCAATTCCCATTGTGAGTGATAACTGCCTGCAAAGATTCAGTAAGAGATGATGCTTCAACTAACAAAAGCATGACAAATGAGAGAAGAAATCACATTAACCATCCTTTAGACAAGAGGAGACATTACTATACATACAAAAGGCATAATGATTAAAATTACAAATGATCTGATTTGGAGCATCCATTGAGTATCTTGTAGGCTTGGGATTTCGTTTTCTTGTTTGTTTAATTTAGTGAATGATCTATTCAAATTAGTGATTAGAATATTCAGATACACACACAAAAATCTAGGGATTTGGAAATTTTTTAAATGATTTGTCTATTTTCTAATTTTTCAATCTAGTTTTCAATGGATTAACCTTACTTTTTCAAACGAATAAAAAAATAAGGAATAAGAAAATCATTCATGCTTTGATAGGGGCTTGCTTCTTTAAGTTTTGCCCAATCTTTGCACCATATTACATCCACAACTGGTAAGTTTTTTTGGATTATCAAATGTTTATTACAATTCTACTATATAGATTTCAGTTTTGGGGTTTATACATTTTCTTTATTTTTTTTTTCTTTTTCGTTTTCATACTCAAATTGGAAAATCGTGGATAACCGTAAAGGTATCAATAGAGGTCGGGAACTTGGTGAAAAAGGGGGGATTGGAGTCCATGTCTTTATAGACCTGCATACTCTTTGGTTCAAGCCCACTTTAACGTGAACGAGCTTCTCACAAACCTCAGAGCCAAACTCCGGAAGAATGATGACAGGAAACTCTATCCTCTTAAGGTATGGGTTTTTGTGATAAAGAAACTGAGTTCTGAGGGAACGCCCTATGGTGAAACTATACGTCAGCTTTGTCGTGTATTGGTAAACCATGTGCCCGGATATGTACCATGGAGTTTAGCGCTTTGTAGGCCATCACCACCAGCAAAGGCTTAGGGAACCCGTCAACAATCACATCAGCTAGTTCATGGTCTTCGCCATCAGTGGAGTACTCAAGGTGTTTGTTGCAGCAGTAGTGTAGAAGAGCACAGTTTTCAAAGCAGCTCCAAAAACTGCATTGTTCATCATGACAATAAGGAGAAATTTCTTGCATTCTCTGGAAAAACAACAACAAAAGAAAACCTCAACAGTGAAAAACTTTAAGAACAAAAACAATGAACTGTAAGTTTTTTCTTTGGATTATCAAATGTTTGTTAACTCTATATTTTGATTACTTTTGTAACTCTAGATTTATTACAAGCGAAACTGGGTTTTCCAAAATTAGTCAATTCGAATTGGAAGTAAATGCGTGAAAAACTGAATTTTCTTTATCTTTATCCTAAATTGCTCTGGAGGGCGTACAAATTGGAGGTTGTACAGATTGGAGGTGTTTGACGACTATATGGTGGAGAGGTCCATATGCATGGGGATAACCAGTACATGCGCAGACTCTGCGCCACCAGTTCAGGATGTACAAGCTCACCATGTACTTTCTCCCCAGTGTGACAGATGTTGTCTACTTTCTCTTTGTCCGCTTATCTCAACTCATAGTTGCAACAAAAATGAGGAGTATGTCGTTTCACCTCTTTTGATTTTTGCCAATGTTATCCTTTTTTATAGTCTTCCATTGTTTTAAAACTGACAGGTTTCTTGTAGGGATTTGGAACCTGTCAGTTTTGAAACAATGAGAGTGTTAAAGGATTTGTTACAAGTCTTAGGGTATGTATGTTAGATTTCTGCTGCATGTGGGGTTTCTCTAATTCTTAGTTCCTTTTGCTAACTCATCTGAGAGCAGAATTTCAAATGCTTATCCGTTTCTTCTAAGAGTTTTATGTTCGAAATTTCCTCTCTGCTATAGTTCAAAGCAAAGTTTTTACATATAGAATGTCCAACAACAAATCAAGAAATCGTCATTTATATAACCGAAATTGAAATCGAAGATATACATAATCTAACTGTTGCAGGAGAAACAGAGACAAAACTATACTCTTTTTCTAGTTTTACTTTGCGAGAGGATTATTACGAGCGAAATTGAGTTTTCCAAAATTAGGCATTTCGATTTGATAGCAAATGCGCGGGAAACTGATTTCTTTTAACCATATCCTACTAACTTTCTAATTTATCTAGAAGGTTCTCCTCTCTCGACAAACCTCTGAGCCAGCTAGAGTCTTCTCTCTTTCTCTTTCAATTCGGTTTTATCTTTGAGATAACACTCATAGCTTGGTGGGAAAAAACTCTCAACAATGGCGCTACTACGGACACTCTCAACGTTTCCTTCTCTTCCTCGTCGCATCACGAGACGAGAACCCACTCTCACCGTGATTTACCGGAACCCGGCGAATTCAATCGTCTGTAAGTCAATCGCTAATTCAGAATCGGCGATTTCGCTCTCGGAACGGGATGGATTCGCGGCGGCAGCTCCGACTCCTGGAGAGAGGTTCTTGGAGAACCAACGAGCTCACGAAGCTCAGAAAGTGATCAAAAAAGAGAAGAAGAAGAAGAAGAAGAAGGACGAGGCTGTTGTACGGAAAGTTGTCGACACCTCCGTCTCGTGTTGCTACGGATGCGGAGCTCCGTTACAGACTTCCGACGTCGATTCTCCGGGATTCGTCGATCTGGTTACTTACGATTTGGTATGAATTAGTTTTGAGAATGGTCGATTTCAGGCTTCAGAATCTCAATCTCAATCTCTATGAAATTAGAGTGGTTTCTTCTCATTGAAATGGTTTAATTGATTTGTTGCAGAAGAAGAAACATCACCAGTTAAGAACCGTAATCTGTGGAAGATGCCAGCTCTTGTCTCATGGACATATGATTACAGCAGTTGGTGGCAATGGAGGATATGCTGGTGGGAAGCAATTTGTCTCAGCTGATGAACTCAGAGAGAAACTTTCTCACTTGCGCCATGAGAAGGCTTTGATTGTCAAACTGGTGAGTAGATGAAACTTCTCTCCATCAATGTAATGTATGGTTTAATGCTTGTTTTGTACACTGGATTTTTCTCTCAGGTCGACATTGTGGACTTCAATGGTAGCTTTTTGGCTCGTGTTCGTGACTTAGTTGGGGCTAATCCGATTATACTAGTTATAACTAAGGTAAAGAGCTTACAAACCTGACTACGTCTTCAATCGTTTCGAGCTTTTTCTCTCTGATGAAATAACTGTGCTTTGTACTGTTAGATTGATCTGCTTCCAAAAGGAACAGATATGAACTGTATTGGTGATTGGGTTGTAGAAGTAACCACGAAGAAAAAGCTACAGTAGGTATCAAGTCCTTATAGGTTTGTTAGCGTTTTAATGTTCTGGAGCTACTGTCTGATTTACATGGATGTAATTTACCAGTGTCTTGAGTGTCCATCTCACAAGTTCTAAGTCTCTGGATGGAGTTAGCGGAGTTGCATCAGAAATCCAGCAGGAGAAAAAGGTAGCATATGCTATACACCGTAAAGCTTTCTTGACATTATTGCTCTAAGATTTCTCGTAAATGCCATGAATTGGCCACTCGATTTCGGATAATATAACCTTATATTCATATATCTTCTGCAACCTAACCTCTCCATCCCTGTTTTTGTTTCAGGGACGAGATGTCTACATTCTGGTATGTGCATCAGCAATTTTATCACCAACCAAGAAAGATTTTTAGTTACTTCATAGCTTAACGTATCTTAAATGAGAGAGGCAGTGCGTATTAAAAAACAATTTTCTTCGGTTTGATTTTCTCTTGTGATCATTAGAGTAGCCAAGTCTACACTGTTTTATATGATCCACTAATTCATAAATTTGTTTACTGGAGATAGACGCAGTGCATTTATGAATTTAATTTTTTGACGGTCTGGCAAATATTCATTCATCATTTCTTCATGGTTTCATAGGGCGCAGCTAACGTAGGGAAGTCAGCATTCATCAATGCTTTGCTGAGTAAGACATTTATTCTTCATTGTGATTAGTTTCCTTAGTTTTTTTCTGGGTGCCAGTTTCTCCACGATCTAGTCTATAAAGAGAGTTTGAGCTTGATTGTCTATATACTTCATTACACAGAAACAATGGCCGAGAGGGACCCTGTTGCAGCAGCAGCACAAAAGTACAAGCCAATTCAATCTGCTGTCCCTGGAACCACCTTGGGGCCAATTCAGATCAATGCCTTTCTAGGAGGAGAGGTATTAACTTAAACCTTCTTCAGATTGTAGAACTTTCTGTTATAAAACAAAAGTATTCATTCTGCTAAAAGAATATCTGATCACCACAGAAATTGTATGATACACCGGGTGTGCACCTACACCACAGGCAAGCAGCTGTTGTTCATTCAGATGATTTACCCGCCCTTGCTCCTCAAAACCGGCTCAGAGCCCAGTCTTTCGATGTATGTCTAGTAATTTACAACCTGCTTAAGACTATATCACCGTAGTATCAGTGTGCTGATTTGATTTGTGCTTTGTTCTTTACAGATTTCAACATTGCCAACTCAATCATCAAGTAGTCCCGATGGTGAGAGCTTAAACGGTTATACATTTTTTTGGGGAGGTCTCGTCAGGATTGACATCTTGAAGGTAACATTATTACCTAAATGCTAAATTCTGTTTCAGAGTGGACATCAGGTTTTGAAACCATTACATACTTTGACCTATTGCAGGCTCTACCAGAAACATGTTTCACATTCTATGGACCAAAGACTCTTGAGATTCATGTAGTACCAACCAAAACAGCAAACGACTTTTACCAGGTAACTTTCTTACACCATCATTATCTACTTCGAGGACAAGTTTTATCTACTCATTTACTTTGTACTCATTTGTTTATGCAGAAAGAACTGGGTTTGCTTCTCACACCTCCATCAGGGAAAGATCAGATGCAGGATTGGAAAGGGTTACAATCTCACCGTTTACTCCGAATTGAATTTAACGATCCAAAAAGGTGAAATAATCGTTATCTTCTATTCCTATTAATTTTAGTAAAACGAATAATGCTCTTCAACCTAAATTAACACATTTCTTAAACAGACCGGCTAGTGATGTGGCGATTTCTGGGCTAGGATGGATTTCAATCGAACCAATCCGCAGAACGCGAGACACTGAGCCGAGAAATCTCAGTGATGCAGAACATGAGATACGTGTTTGTGTGAGTGTGCCAAAACCTGTTGAAGTGTTTATTCGACCAACATTACCCATTGGCACTTCCGGTGCTGAATGGTATCAGTACCGTGACTTAACCGACAAGGAAGAAGAAGTAAGACCCAAATGGTACTTTTGAAATTTTACATTTTTTAGATGCAAGAACATAAAAGCAACGAAAATGTAACAAAGTTGTACAATAGTAAATTGTTTGTAACGAAATCTACTAAACATCAAGTCAACAACATTTCAGAAACTGCAAAATAAAATAAAGAAAATTAAACACATCAGAAAGATATGTCACACTACACTCCAGTGGCATCTCCGGTGGATGAACCATGGTCCTCTTCAGCCGGAACCACCCCCATGTTGTCATACACTAACGCAGCGGTGGCTCCTCCGAGCAAAGGCCCGACCCAATACACAGCTTGGTTCTTGAAGCTTCCGTAAACCATCGCCGATCCAAAGGCACACGCAGGGTTCATCGAACCTCCAGAGAACGGACCAGCGGCTAAAACATTGGCTCCAGCCACAAACCCTATGAATATCGGTCCCACGGCTAAAGGCAAGCCCCGTCTCGGATCATTAGCCGTGAAGACAGTGTACACAAGCACGAACGCTAAAACACCTTCGAGAACCGATGCTCCAAATCCGGTCATTTCTCCGGCGATCTTATAGATCGGAACGTGCTAATAACAAGAAAGAAAACAAGATTTTTCATACAGAGACACATATTTCAACATCAAAAAAAAAAATGTGCAAGGAAAATGGTAATTACCTGTTCAATGACGGTTACTTTAAGGACAAGGCAAGCCATAACAGAGGCAAGCATCTGTGAAGTCCAATAGAACATAGCGGTTGGAACGCTAATCCGACCAGCAATCGCCATCCCAAACGTGACCGCCGGATTCACATGGCCGCCTGAGACGTTCCAAGAGATGTAAACGGAGGAAGATAACGCAAACGCATTCGCAATCGCCGGTATTAACACACTAAACGGACCCGTCACATCACCCGCCATCAATTTCCCTGACAAAAATAAAAACACGATTTGAAGATCGATTCTTTAATTACAAAGATCAAAACTTTCAGAGATTTCAGAGGAGAAGAAGAGTTGATTTACTTGAAGCCATGACGGATCCAACGGCTGCGAGTACGAAGAAGAAAGTGGAAATAAACTCCGAAACATAACATCTCAACGCATTCATACTCACTGCTCCTTGAAACTTACTTGATAACGTCGTAGGAATCATTCTTCTCATCAATTTTCGTTCAACAGTTTCTTCTTTTTTCTCTCTGTTTCTGTTTTGTTTAGTGAATGTTGCTAAATCTTAAAGAGAATGGTAACGACTTTTGATGAAAAAATGAATTTAAACAAGAAAAAATTAACCGTCCCAATACAAACGGGTTTTACTGGCGATAGTGATTAGTGGGGGAAGTTATTTACAGTTATCAAGTTTTATAAATTTCATAAATGCCCCCATGTGATTAACTTATACCTATTCGTACCCTTAGCTTTGTTTCATTTCAATTTGACCCCGAATGAATATAAAATAGAAAGTGTTCATATACGTATATTGAAGTGAGCTTATTATACGTTTGCTAATTGTTATGTTCATTCGAAACAACATAAAAGGAAAATACATTCTGTAGATCTCATTGCATCTCACGATGGCCAATTCCTATACCAACCGGCCCAAGCCGAGACTAAACCGCTTATACCGAGTGTAACCGTGTGGTTACAAAACGGGTTTGGTTGAATTTCAGCCAATGCGATTATCAAATCCGCAACGTTAGCCGAAATTCCCATCAATCTCATCACTATATCTCCTCGAATCTCCCTAATTTTCTCACCGGTTTCTTCTTTCGGTTCATCATTGGACCGGAGTGTTTTCAATGATTTAAGTCTCTGCCTTATGAAGATGCAATCAATGACGATAAAGAAAACGTAACCGAAAGATTCGCCAAAAGCAGAGATGAAACTCATTTTCTTGGCGATCTTGGGGTCTAATGCACCGATTCTTGATAGCCAAAGAAAGTGATCGAAGAAGAAGTAAACCATTTCTCCTGAATTGGCTAAGACTGCCAAGAAACGGATCGTCCGGGTTGCACCGGGGTTTCGTCTCAGTGCATTGAACCCCGTGAGAGATCTCCCTGTCCTGTTCAAATGATTCGACCATAAATTAACAACGATTGTTATTTTGTTAATTATATCTATTAATTTAATTATATCATTCATGTGCTATAAAGTGTATTAGTACATAGAAAATGGATCCTATTACTAGTGACTATTCAGTTTTTGCTTAGATGAGATACGATATTAATCAAGAAGTGAATGAGAAGCAAAAATTTCATTTCTTAGACTATATTTACGATTATGCCATTATGTAGATAAAGTGATTATAAGAAAGGTGTGGGACCTGAAGGCTTTGCGGCTGAGACCGGACGCGACCTCCCATTTCTTGAACCTCTCGGCCGCGTCAGGTCGTGTGGCTTCAACGTGCCAGCACGCGAGCTTGGCCACGTATTGGAATGTTTTCACAAGCTTGTCTATTCCGTCTCTCTTGGCCAAGAACACCACCAGCTTGTCCACCGTGTCCAAAGACATTGCTTACGGCGCCGGAAGCAGAGAGAGAGGAGAGAGAGAGAAAACAGAAAGAAGAAGAAGATTAAGTTATGGAGATGAAGAAGATGTAAGCCACAAGTGACGTTCTCGAATTAATCCTTGTTTTTTTTGTCTTTTGTATTTTTTTTGAGGTTTAAGTTTAAGATGATTGCTTTGTGGTGGCTACTCTATTTGCTCTTTCTGTCTCATGTTTGATATAAAGCTTGGGATTAAAAATAAATGTCTTAAATATGTGGAAGAAACTTTCACAATATTCTCTAAATGTTTTTCCCTCTTTTTTAGCAAAAATCTCATATTCCAATTATTTTAGGTTTGAAGATAATTCTCTTTCTTTTTTTTACAAATTGATTGAGCGTTGGAGAGTGTGTCTGCACATGAGCACATCACGTAGATAGATAAGTGCGACTGTTTGTATCACTGGGCTTGACTTGGGGCTGGAGATTGGGCTTTGGTTCCAAACTGAAAACAAATAGCCAGAAATCCTTGGACCTCGAAAAGCTCTTTGATTGTTTGAATAGAAATATTAAGCTTATGCATAAGAATAAAAAATATCATGTTGCCAAATAATAAGTGCTTAATGTTCTAGTGCTTAAATTACTATCTTGAACACATAATTTTCAAATGTTCATTTGCATTTGCAATTTTACGTCGAGGTAACCTTCAATATATCAGATTTTCCAATCCATATAATCTTAAACGTTTTGATAAATCACTATCTTATACCCAGTGGCGGAGCTACTTGGACTATTAGGTGGTCAATTGACCCAGGTCAAGCTATAACAATGAAAACTTAAGCTTACTAATGCATCTTATTTCTAAAAGAATTTGTTGAAAATTATTCGATTGACCCCCCTAATTTTATGTTGGATGTTTTCCTCAACCCCGGTTAAAAAAATTCCTGCCTCCGCCAATACTTATACCCTTAATTGTTCACATGAACACGTTCTATGCATTGCAATTTGACGTCAAGGTAACCTTCAGTGTATCAGATTCTCCAAGCCATATAATTTTGTGGATACAACTATATGCAATTTGTATAACTCCATCCTGTTCGACCCAAAAAAAATCTTTGAAAGAGACAAGACGAACACCAAAGTGTGAAATATGCAACTTAGTAGAAGAAGCTACTTAAGACCCAACTAACCTTTCATGAAACGCAAAAATAACAAATGCGCATATTTTGTGGCTCAATCATCAGTGCATAAATAAGAAACAAATAGCGAAATGTATTAGTTGATTCCTTTGTTGATAAATACTTATGTGATAGCTTATTTGACTACAGTTTAATAAAGTCCCAATATTAAAGATATTAATTCTATTTTTTGTAATTTCTTTGAAATTATTAGGTTTACTTTATAATAAACGAAAATTAAGCGTCTTTATCATAAACAACTTTGGAATACATGCAAGCATTATAGAGTATATACTATATTTAATTAAACATAAATATAATGTTGTTATTTTTTTTGTTAAAAGGACTTTCTCAATAAAATCATAGTACGTAATCTTTTAGATTTGAATTAGTGGTTACAAAATACAAACACAAGATCTAGATATGTGCGCTTTGAACTATCAGAATTACAAAATACAAACATAGGCTTTGATTGGTAACTTTGTGGAATGGCGGAATTGCGAAAAAAATATTGTGGAATAGATTAAGCGACTTATAAGTCGCTTTTCTGTGGAATGCTTTTTCCTTTATATTTTTGTTAAGCAAAAATGCAGTCTGCGTTTTTGTATGTATTTTTTTATTATGCGAATTTTTATTGTTTGGCAAAAACCTGCGGATTTGTGTTTAAAAATGCAATTCCACCATTCCACATGTTACCAATCAGAGCTAAGATTTAGATATGTACGCTTTGAACTATCAGACTTTTTAAGGCAGTGAAAGGCATGCATCACATCATACGTGTACCGTGTTCGAAACATCTGGATGCGCAGACTTTGGCATTTTTAAACAAACAGAAAAAGATGATAGACAGGAAACTAAAACCAATCAAAATACTTAAGGCAATGTGTATCGTTATCCATGTGTCACTTAACAGGTCATATAAACCAAAAAAAAAGCCTATAAAACACTAGAAAAAATATTTAAAAAAATCCTAAGGGATACATCAAGTTAGGCAAATAATTGAAGATAGATAAATAAATATTTATAATGGTTTCTGTTATAAATAAATAGATTTCTAGTAACCGGCCCATTAACCATCAGGTTAATGTCTTATGGCCCATTAGAGTTTCTGATACATTAGTTATGTAATGTATATATACACTGCTTGTGGAAATAATAAGACGAGAGTTTTTTCCCTTAATACGTTATCAGCACGAAGCTCAACTTCAAACGATCATATCTCTCAAAATACAAGGAGTTAGAAGGCGATCTACATATCATTTTGAAGCCCTGGAAGAGAAGAATCTAGTGGTAAAAACCGCTCCTCAATCCGACACCAGACGCGCCCTCAAGACTCAAAACAATCGGCGCTGTCCCACCTTAGCGGGTGATTCTTTCCAAGCGGTGGTTCCTCCATTGTAGCAGCTGTTCGTCCTCCCTTCTGGCCATCATTCTCAGGAGTTTCCAGTAGATATCTGTGGTCTTTATCTCCCAGATCATAAGCCGGTCAGAAATCCATTTGGCGAAAAGGTATTATCTAAAACTATAGATCCTAATCAAAGTTTTGGTTTTTTTTGAAAACCCTAATACGGATCGGTTCTTTTCATGATTCTTCATCGTCTTTTTCGTTTTTAAAACCATAACCAAACCGATCCTCTTTCTTCTTGTCAAAACCCTAATTGGTTTTATTTTTCCTAATCGGCTTTATCATATAAAATCTAAACCCTAATGCTTTGTTCAAACCCTATATCGATCGGTCCTAGCATCATCTAAACCAAACACTAAAATTCTTTGCAACCGAAACCTAAATCTTTGCAAAACCCTAGATCTAAAATCGTTTTGGTTTGTCTATCGTTAAACCGAGATCGATCAGTTTAAATCCTAAACCGATCGGTTATTTATCTTAGATCCGAATCCTTGAAAACCCTAAAACCGGTCCATGCAAGCTCCTAAATCCTAAACCAATCGACCCCTTAAACTCTAAACCAATCGATCCACCTAAACCGTTTATAAACCGATAAATTCTAATCCTAAATCGATAGGGTTTAAGTTTAAACCGATCGGTTTTTCCTAATAAAAATTAAACCCTAGCAAATCCGTTTAGTTTAATCCCTTAACCGATTAATAACCCTAATAACCGGTTTCCAAAATTAAATCTAATTTAACTGGTTTTGTTGTTTAATCGATCAATCCGATCGGTTTAAGCTTAATCAGTTAATTTCAAATTAGTTTCCAAAATCAATCTAAAAAAAAAAAAAAAAAAAATTAATTTCAAATTAGTTTATCTATTAGAGCTAAATTTGGAAACACTAGTAAACCGGCTAGGTTATAAACCCTAAGGTTCGATTTTAGAGTTCCCTTATATAGCAAGTTTCCTAAAATAGCAAGTTTCCTGAAATAGAAAGTTTTCCCAAGAATACCTTAAATCCCTTATTCCAATGATCATAGTCTCATACTATTGATTATTTAACATAAATTATTATATGTTTCAGATGTCAAACATTCAGAAGGTCGAATATGAGGCACTCACTGTCTCCGGAGATAACTACCTCAAATGGGCCCTTGACACCAAGATCTACCTCAACTCAAAAAGTCTGGGTGAATGCATCAAAGATCCCAACACCGCGACTCAAACAGAACGGTATTCGGCGATATTTATTATCCGCCATCACCTCGCTGAGTCTCTCAAGCAACAATACCTCACTCTTGAGGATCCACTCGAACTTTGGGTGGCACTGAAAAAGCGATATGACCATCAGAAAACGGTCATACTGCCACAAGCCAAGTTCGACTGGAAGAACCTACGGTTCGAAGATTTCAAATCCGTCGAAGAATTCAATTCCGAACTCTTTCGGATAGTTGCACTCATAAAACTATGTGGCGAGGAGGTCACTGATAAGGATATGCTAGAGAAAACATTCTCTACTTTTGGCACTCCCAATGTTGTTCTCCAACAACAATACCGTGCCATGAATCATAGCACCTATGAGGATTTGATATCTTGCTTACTGCTTGTTGAGAAGAACAATCAGCTTCTGTTGAGGAACAGTGCCATGCGGCCTCCAGTATCAGCCCCATTGCCAGAAGGAACCAGAAAAGAGTCCAACTTCGTCCAACGTAACAGATCCTCAGATCGTGGACGTGGACGTGGAAATGGACATGGACTGCGCGGTAGAGGACGCGGTAGACCGAACCAAAATAACCGACCTAACCTCAGTTTTGGTCGGGGTAAGGATCGTGGTATCAACAAACCGACCCAAAGAGGCAGTTCATCTAGACCAACTCCTTGCTCAAGATGCGGAATGACTAATCATTGGGTCAAGATCTGCCATACTCCCAAATATCTTGCTGAGCTCTACCAGAAATATGGGAAAGATAATCATGAGGCTAACCTGGTTCATCAAGTCAATGAAGATGACTCAAAGGATGATAAGATTGATGGCATGGATTATGAGCTCTCCGACCTCCTTGATTGATTTCAAAAATCTGAATTTATTTTTCATTACTCCTTAAACTTTTATCTTTTGTTTTTTGGGATTTATTGTCTTTACTTTGGATTTTTAAAACCTTTTGCTTTTACATTTTAATTTATGGAGTAATGTTTTATTTACATCTCATTTTTGCATGTTATTGAATTATAATTCTTGTTTAATAAAGATATGCAAGACAATATGGATATCATTGTGGATAGTGGATCGAGCCACACCATTCTAAAAGACAAGAATTACTTCATAAATTTAGTAATCAAAACCGCAAACATTAGCACTATAGCGGGTAGTTCGAGCCTAATAGAGGGCCATGGCCAAGCTAATGTGTTGTTATCAAATGGCACATATCTAGACATCTATGATGCCTTATACTCACCCAGTTCTAAGAGAAACCTATTGAGTTTCAAAGACATAAGATTGAATGGTTTCCATATCGAAACTCAGGATGAAGGGAACAAAGAGTTTTTAATTATCACTAAAATGATAAATGGCCATAAACAAGTTTTTGAAACTATACCCGCCGTATCTACTGGCATTTACCATGCTAAAGTCAGTATGATTGAGGCTAATGCTGC